ATTGCAATGATCACATGATAGGATCAACTGAGAAATTTCATATAGCCCTTGTTAAACTTTTACTACATCCCTGCCTCAAAGTTAAAAGTCGAATTTTGAAAATGGGCGTTTCCATAATTCTCTAGTGACCTGAAAAGTGTGACACCAAAATAACCACCCCCCCCCCAAATCATTGTTGCTTAATTCCGTCCCTGGTTATCTAGATATTTCAACACTTATTTTTCTATTTTCAAAAACTATAAATTGTTTCTCAGAACATCAAAGAACAGTTTTGATTGTCATTTTTAGAAGCACGGTTTATCAGTTGACAAAATCTACTCTGTTTTTTAAGAGACAATATTTTCAAAATGAATGGTTTTCATTCTAATTTTTCATCTGAGAATGGGTATGTTCTTACGTTGTTCTTTACTTCTGGCAAGATGAGTAAGGTACTTGTTGAAGTACGATATTCAAGTTGTGGCATTAAAAATGATGGTGGAAAAACTACAATAAATGTTTGCCAAATCATCTAGGCCCCCCGACCCCAAACTGTGTTCTAGCCATAGAGTTAAGAACGCTCTTAACTCTATGGTTCTAGCGTCCCTACAAGTGTACATTTGAGAACAGAAATGCCAAAAATAAATCCTTGCACAAAGGAAGAATTTTTGTGAAGGCAAAAATTATGTTTAAACTCAGGGCCGCTGAAGCCAGGGGAGGGGGCATGTAGTAGGATTAATACTTTGTTTATCACTGTTTATCTATTGTTGTAATTGCACATGCGCACTGTAAATAGTATAAAAAGTCTTGTTATTGTAATTAAGGGGAAGTAGTTGTTGAGTTGTTGAAGAATGAAATTTCTTGTAATGATATTTGTGTGTTGATATTATGGTGAAAATTACAAAGTTGAGTTCCCCTTAGTGTGAAACAAAATAAAACATAAAGCTTCACCACAGGCACGGAGGCACGGGGGCACGCCCCCTGATGAGAAAATATGTAAAATGTGTCCTTTTCTAAGAAAAAAAACTGCGTGTAGTTCATTTGCTTTGAAAGAGATAGAGACTGAAATTTCGCTTTGAAAGAGATAGAGACTGGAAATTATTATTGCAAAAGCTAGAGGCTGAACATTATATTTTCGGTTTATATTAATCTTTAAAGTGTGATTTCATTAATGTAAATTCATTTTTCTTTGGTAATTTGTAATTTATCTGAATATTTGTCGAGTAATATGCATCTGGTTTAAGTATGGGTGAAGGCTGTGTGCCTGCATAGAGGTGTGCCTGCCACTTAAATGGGGGCCCTTTCCACTTACAATAAAAATTAAAAACAAAAGTAAGCACAACGTAACATTAAGATAGTATCAATCATACAGGGACGAAAGATTTACACAAACAAAACTTTCAACATGAGGAGTTATACAAGAAAATATGCCTAAGAGTGTATGCCCCCTAATTTAGAACATAGCCATATCTGCCCTCTAGCAAAGATAGTTCTTGCAGAGCCGTCGGAAGCGGGGGCCTTGGGGCTGGAGCCCTTCCAATAATTGTCAAACTGTAGTATATTTCATTTATAACAGTGTACTGAATGGGAAGTAACGCAATGGGAAGCCCCCTGCCCCGATTTTGTTCCGACGGCACTGTTTTGCTATGTGCACTGTGTCATTTTTTCTAAATTTCTAAAATACCATGAAAGCTGTACCTTTTTGGCAATAACCAAAGTTATGGAAAAAAAGCTGTTTGTGCCCTTTTTATATATTTTGCCCCCCCCTTTTAAACCTGCATCCGACGGCCCTGTAGACGTCAGCTGCAGCATGTCTCGCATGGTCCGTTTTACTGATACTTGTAAGTAAAAAAGTTGATTTTTCAAGGAATTCCGGCCATTTAGGAAAATGACGTCATACAATCATCATTTCAGCAAAAATTTTGGCTCTAGAGAATTTTCTGAACCTCCATCCATACCAAAATGCACCTTGTACAAAAATTGGAACTTCATTCCCGTCAGTTTTTCCAAAACCCACTAATTCACCTAAATATATCCGCAAATGGAAGCTTCGCGGCAAACTAATGATCATCAACTGTGGAAGAATTAAATGGCAAAACGACAAGGTTTGAAAGGTGAATCAACAAGGAAATAAGAATACAAGCATATGAAGAATTCAGCTTGAGCATTAATAGATAAATAAGACGGTCGACGCTTTCAAATAAATTGTGGCAAGTTAAGTACTTCAAATATCCATGCATGTCGCTATTTTGAGCCAATGCTGTAATGTCATGTAACCAAAAGACATATACGCCCTTACCGCAGACTTAGAGAAAATTGTATAAGCTGCAATTATTGCTATGAGGAGCTCAAAAGAAGCTGTAGTTCATTCTTGCAGATAATCCTAAAATTGGCTTTTCGCAAAAAGGTGCTCATGGATTCACCCAAAAACGCGAAATCCAAGAATATTAGTTTCCGCAAACTTAATTTCCTTATACTTTCATGCCATCATTTGCTCTTACTTGTTATCATTAAGTGCGATATGACCATTTATTTCATTGTTAATTAATTTTCTATGAAGAATCAGTCGGTCAATCAAGTAAAGTTGGTCACTTTTTTTCTGAACGCCCCCCCCCCCCTAAGAAAGTTGGTCACTTTTTTTCTGAACCCCCCCCCCCCCCCCTAAACAAAATTGTCTAGGCACATTACTGGTGATATGGACAATGAAGAGTAAGCAAATTTCAAGGAATTCAAGAAGTGCGACAAAGCAGGACAAGTGCTTATGTATGTTACGTGAAGCGTGCATGCAGCAGATAGAAGGCTGGCCCCAGCAAATACAAAAGAAAAGGCACTAGACTTCGACCTCATGCAATGGGCCACATACAAAGATCATTAAGAGCTCCCATCGCTCATTGACTATGTTCTATTGTTGCTCCAGCATTTATAGGAAGCAAGTCTGGGGTGAAAATGCAACCATCATATTAATGGTCGGACAGACAATAATTGCAAGAATAACTTAATTTCTAAAAAATGATGGAGCGAGGTGTAAATGATATAAAGGATGATCTTGCTCAAAACTTGGTAGAATCCCTATAATCGAAAATTGAGCTCTATAAAAAGTGACGTGTGTCCGGCTGCTGGTAGACTTGCTTCCAGTCTATTTCGTGCTTGAGACAGGGGTATTTGTTTCCCTACTGTGGACTTCTGCGAAGGAGTCGAACGGCGGTGAGGGGAAAAGCGAAGCAGCTGGGAAAGATACAATGAAGGTAGCTTGAAGATGGGAAAGAGAAAATTTTCGATTCACTAACAAGAGGTTCATTGCTATGAAGGAGGCTGTGTAATCCCAAGAACTAGAAATGGCTTGGTAACCTGTTTGGCGTAAGCACATTTATACTCGCAAGAAATATTATAAGTAACATTAATAAATAAAAAAGCGCAAATGACCGACAGTCCATGAACTAGTCTCTTCTCTTGCTTTTTTTCTCCTTCTTCCGTTTCTTCCGCGAGAGAGACTTCTGGCAAGTCCAAGACATGATCAAAAAGGGAAGGCTACCATTGTTTTCAAATTAATTAATTGTTTTCGCGCCAAGGCGCCAACGAGCAATAGTTAAAAAGCATTTTCGTTCCGTAGAACTGGCAAGGTCTTGAATGAACTAGAAGATGAGGTCAAGCTAGCCCCCTCTCTGTCTACTTTTAAATATAGATTAGTCGAAAATAACTGCTCTACAAATGTCTACCACAATAAAGAGAGGTTGATCTTGAGACAGTCGCTTTAGTTCTTCAAAAAAAGATCATGGTTTTTCTTATTCTACGAATAAATTAAGGAGCTGCTAACCGAATTCCAGTACACAGGGGTAAATCATTATTTAAAACAAATCATAGCAATTTTGTGAAAGTCATACTGTAAAGCAATAATGGATTCTGTAGCATCACAATAAATTTGACCTTAAAAAATAAGAAAATCAGCTGATTTTTGAGTTGCAAGGAGAGTTAAATGTCTTTTATTAGACCCGGTTTATTCTTGTCTTTTTCAACATCTTGGAAAAGAAAAAATTAAGGGCGTTTCTCTATTTTCACCCACAATTCTGAAAGAGTTGTGACTAGATGATGAAACTTTGAGATTTTCGTATCCGTAGCAAACTTGAATTTGAAATTCTTCACCAGCTTAACCAAAACAACTGTTGTTTCAAAGTAAGCAAATCTGTATCCTGGACACTTCCTTTTACCAGCAAAACCAAAAGGCTCAAAAGCAAACTTTTCACGGCCCTTTGAGTTTTCATCACTGAACCTCTCAGGGTCGAATCTATAATGAGAGAGAAAAAGTAGTTAGCGTAGAAACGAGGCATGCTTCTACATGAGTTGGAGGCAGTAAAAAAAGAGGCACTGACCGAGCCTAAACACTAATTAGACTCTTAACTCGAGAAGCTGAAAAATTTTCCCTCTCGTGATTCATGTCAAGTGACGCATTTGAAGTACTGAGCTTCTTGCTCGAGCATGTTTCTATGGAAATCTCACCTTGCTGGTTCTGGCCAGATCTCTGGATCTTCAAGAACGGTTCCAAGAGAGAGTAACATTGGAGTCTGAAATGAAAGCAAAATGGCCACAATTTCATTGGCTGCCAACTCTGACGTTTCATGCCTAGAAATATTATATATGCAACAACAAAAAATCATTCTGTAAAAAAGAATGATGTCCTCAATACTGATACCAAAGTATAAAGCTTTCTGATGACTGATAGAGAGCTTGAGGCCGAGCCCTCTGGCTCTGTGCAAAAACCAGCTGGTTTTATCCTAATTCCTACTTTTTCGTACACAGTAAACAGGAGGCTAATAACAAAACGGGTTTGGGGTTCTGACATAAAATGATCACCAGGGGTACTAAATGCATAGTTATTGTTGAGTGGGAAAATTTGTCAAGAATTCATTAGCGGGAGGGTGTGTTTATTAAGGACACTGGCTTGACAAAGAACTTAAATTGCCACTGGCTTTTGAGATATTTATTGGTGTATTCCCATTATTCTTTATATAGCACTAGACCGCTGATAGAATGCTTTGCAATACTGCAGGAAGGCACTTTCCTTTATCATAGCTTAACAATTGAAAATATGCCGGTTTTTGGAGAAATAAAATATATCATCGAAAACAAACCATACCTTGGCTGGTATCATATGTCCATCAATAACCATGTCAAAATCCGCATACCTGGCTGCAAATGGTGCAAGAACTGAAGCCCTTAGAGTCTCATCTATCACCTGCCTTGTATACCTGTTAGAATATTACTCAAATTCAGTGTTGTCTAGAATCTCACATTTGATTGTCTCTAAAAAAACTAGTTTTTGTACCACCCTTGGCTCTAAGTCTTAACTACATGCATCCAAACGGCAACTGGACTTAAGACGGAAAAATGTGTAACTTCTCGTAAATCTGGAATTTTCACTGCTCTAACGTCTCGTGGTGCTATAAAGCTAAGGGGGCTCTCTTTTTTACGAATGTTCTGCTGGCAGTGTAAATTGCCTAGATTACAACAGGGGCCCCTATTAAATGTAAATAAAGAGAAAAGAGTAATCTAAGTACAATATGCTGTGGTTGTGCTAGTTGAAGAATAGATATAGAAAATCGTACGACCTCATAAAGAATATTCAAATTATTACAGAAGTTATCTTCGGAGATAGCTTTCGGGATAAACTCGAGCTTTTTCAGAAAAAGTATTCTTAGTAAAAAGTAGGGTTATTTGAAAATTAGAGAAATCAAAGTTGCATGTTTTCTAGCAATCAAAGACATCATACGTTAGGCTCTTCATGTGATCCATTGTTATATTTTCATCATCATTCACATATTCCTCGATCTCGTTAAAGAGCTTTTCTTGGCATTCAGGATGCAGACAGAAGTAATATATCACCCATGATAGAACTGAGGAAGGAAAAAAAGCATAACAGCCTACAGAAAGTGGGCAGTAGTTTAGGTTGTTATAAAACATACACTAGTTACAATTCACAAAAATTGTGGGAAAAAAACGATAGGTAGTCAAAAGAAGTGTATTCTAGAAATTAATACACTATAGAGGACTCGGATGTTTCATAGGTATTGAAATCGCAAAATAGCATCAACAAGTTGGTGTTGAAATTAGCTGAAATTCGGCTTCTTTGATGCATTTTTCTACCAAATACCATGATACTAAACGACAAATGTACTTCATTGCATTCACGACATTTGGCTTTCACTAGAAATAAGAGATGCATATAGGAATTGAATTTACGTACGATTTCCTGTTGTATGAAATCCGCCGACAATGTACGTTATGGCATTATCAAAGATCTAGAATGTTTCAAATAGAAATAAACTTAGACTGAGGTTTCATAACAAAAGTAATCAAAATAAACAAATACTTTTATAGATTTATATAAAATCAGTGGTGATTAATGGAACATCAATTTATCTTAAATTTCCTGACGATCAAATTTTCATATACAGCACTTGTAAGCAAAAGTGTGACTTTCCCAGCGACAAGCATAAATAAATATCTAAATGTTTTATAACACTTTAGGACCAAGAGGCAAGAGAAAGATTAAAAAATTTAGTGATAGGCTTGGAACCCAGCTGTCCACAAATTTTAAAGAAAAGACTTACTTTAAATTTTCTTAAAAATTACAGTTCAGTTTAGCTGGCATAAAAAACCTACCATATCATCTGTTGGGAAAAGATCTTTATTCTCCAGCATGACATCAAGAAGTAAATGACCTTTTTTGTCTTTTTCATTTTTTCTGTTAGCAATCACATCCTTTACAATTGCTTTCATTTCCGCCAAGGCTTGAAACAAATATTTTCGTTAAAAATACCATTACATATATGGTTCTTGAGAAAGGGGGTGGACAAAATGCAGACAGGTTTCTACCCATTGCCGGATGACAGCGCGTCAAACGAAACCCCGAAAAATGGCTACAGAATGTTCCGACTGTTTTGTCGCTTTGTTAAAGTTAAAAATACCTGAAAGCATACGAATTGTGTATTTTTTTGTATCATTTTGCATACTAAAACAAATTAAAAACCAACCCTTTGCAAACTTTTTCTGTTGTTCACTTCCTTCTGGTGGTGGCCCATTACTTAATCGCGATTCCATATCTGACCAGCACTGAAAATAAAAGGAACTTCTGACTCAAAAATTGGAATCAAAATGCTAAAATTAAAGTTAAATGAAAAACAGTTAATAAATCATTAAGTAAGACGAACTTCCCATCTTAACCACAGTTTTGCAAAAATAATCGATGTTCATTAGTTCCATTCAAAATTAAGTGGCTGGAGGTTAAGCTACGGTCAAATTTTAATATGAAAATCTTTGGTGATGTCATTTTCAACAAATTCAGCTAATGAAGGCGACAATTTTTCCTAATGTTCATCAAAATGAAAATCATTGACGATACTTACAATGTCATAGACTCTTTCAAAATTGATGATTTGTTTGTCAGATTTGAAATAGTCTCCAAACGACGTCAACATAATAGATTTAATTGCTACAGCTAGCATATATTCTCTGAATGGAATGTGTTCTTCGGGCTTGCACTCGTTCAGTTTTTTTATCAATTCATCCCCAACCTTTATAATAAAAAAGTGACACTCTATAACGGTAATGCAAAGGACTAAGAATCAATATAAATAAATATTATTAAAAACAAAGATAGAATAACAAAGTGAAATTGACCAAACTAGTGTCTTATACATGAAAATAAAAGGTATCGTATGAAACAAAAAAATATCAGCACTTCACTTATCAGCATTTGATGAGGACCCAAAAAGACCGAAAGATGAGATGGATAGGTGTGATAGACGAAATGAGAAGTTTGGGTGTTTACGAAGATAGAAGTGCAATAAAATGTTTACGATCGACGTTGATAATTCAAGAGGAATTCTATGCTCGTGCGCATTGGAGTAGATTGGTTCGTACGAGTAGAAAACCGTTGTCAAATAAATTTTTGTATACTTGTTGCAGGATTTATTTTAAGGATTTTTTATCACTGCATATATTCAAAAATTTTGAAGATTTGGGTGTTGCCTTTCAAAAAATTTCATGACCACAACAATCAAACTAACTTCATTTGAAGCTTTCGCATAACACCAGCTCATTTAAATATGTTTTCGAAAATAAAGATCAAAGGAGAAGATGAAGAGCGAAACAAACTAGATCGCTTCTAGATACTGAACAAATTTTAGAGAGGTTTCATAGATTATGATTATTGGTACTGTTACTGTTCTCGTTTTTGTGTACGAAGGATGAGTACACTATGTGGTGGGTCGAGGGGAACGCATACATGTATGTATATATATATATATATATATTTAATACTGTAATGCTCTCTGGTAGTTCTGCAATTTTACTTTTCAATACCAAATCTCTTTATTTTAGTTTTATCACTGCACGAAATTGTCTTCTTTGCGACTCCCGTCTCTTATAACAATTTTAAGAAAACTTAAATTTCTCTGAAAAAAGTGTAGTATTTTAACTTCAATGTTTCATCATCTCTTAAGAAATCATTAAGCTATGATTTGTGATATTTTACACTGAGAGATTTGGCAATAGAGAGCAAAACTGCAGTGTCAGTTTCAGTATTTACTATTCAGGATACCTAGAGTATCAAATTTCGTTAAAATCTGGACTCGCTGTGAATTTCCACCATGAATTGGAAACACCATAAATTTATCAAATTTTTGAGCAACATAGTGCAGTATTTATTACAAAGAGGGCTCTATAGAGAGAGGCATTCAATTCAAGGTTTTGGTTCTCCAGAACAAAGCTGCTCAATCTTTTTCTATGCAACTGGACAGTAAGAATGTATTTTAAAACTTAAGAATCAGATCTCAGACCCATTTCACATATCAGAAGAAGGATACACATTACCTGCTACATCTATTCTGTACAAATTCAAAATATGGCAGTTTTTCTCAGGATATGCCCTTTAAAAGCAACATTAGCACACAAACCTTGTTGAAAATTGAGCCGTATTCTTTTACTGCTTCGTGACTGAAACTTCTGTCTAAAACATGTCTAATCTTTCGTCCCCTTCCATCATTTGCATACTGAACGCTGTGTCTCCCAATCAATGGTTCAAACATCATAAATAGCATTGCTATAGAAAAATAGTTATCATGCAATGTAGAATCGCCATGATATTTAGAACTTCCAAAAAAACTTCAGGCCACTTCAGCAAGGAACAAAAATTGAATGTTATGAAACTTCATTTCACTTTTCAGGAGTTTTCTGGTCTAATTCACAAATTGCTGAGTTCAATTTCTTTATAATATATGCTAGTTTCTTGTGCTAAATTTCAATTTAAAATGCATTTTAAAGGACAGACATTCTTAAAATTCCAATACAAACATCAACATGATTATAATTCAGGTGTTGAATATGATCATCATTAAAAACAAAACTCAAAAACTGTAACTCAAATCATAGTTTGTAACAAGTATTTCTATTGACACATTCTACAATCTTTTTATAAAAAGGAAAAAAATCTCAGTGATGGTGCCAAAATGGTATAAAATGAGAATGCCTGTTTCACCACTTTAGAGACACTCAAGAATAATTTGTTATAAGTATAATTTGCCAATGTATTACTTCTCCCCAAAATTTTCTTAACAGTACAGACATGCAGTCATAAAAAATGGCTCCATAATATTCCAAAGTTATTGTACAGACTTTTATCTCACGGAATTCAAGATAGCAATGATAATAAATCCATATAAATGCATAATGTGAGATGACACCTTTCACTAGAAATCTTCTTCTAAATTGAGTTGAAAGATTGGAGCTTACTGCAAGATCTTATACATATGTGGTCTGTTGAATAGTGTTGCCACTTCTTTAAAGACTTCTGGTGATCCTAAACTAACAACAAGCTGCTTGCCCCACCAAAAGCTAGCAACTGGACCAAACTTTTTGTGAAGATCAACCAAAAACTCATGCAAACTTCCAGCTTTGCTTATGTCAGGGAGATTTCCCTGTCTAAAGATAAAAAAGTGTTTTACTTTAAGACTTGCTAGAGACACCAAATAAATTGAATGAAAACATAAGATGCACTTTGCTATTGGCTATGGTGCAACCAAAGATATCTCAAAGAAACCTGGATGTTAATTCCTATTGACATTACTTTCCACTAACAAGTACTTAATCATATAGACAATTTTAGGAATCATTGCAACAAAGTCAAAATGAAAACTTAAATATAGGGACTGACACAAGAATAAAGAGCATTGGGCTTAAGTTGACTAAGGAATAATAATCAGTTTTACAAATACTTATTACAACAAGCTTGTTAAACAAAACATCAACCATATAATAAATGCTAGTAAACAAAATATGTATAGGGGCATACCTAATATAGAAATACCTATTAAACTATGTACCATGAAAATCATGGGATCATTGCCATGATCAAATGACTCATACCCCATGACCTGTGCACGACGTTGCTAAAACGAGGAACAAGCGGAACAACCCAGTAACAAGCGGAACAACCCAGTAACAACCCAGTAACAAGCGGAACAACCAAGGAACAAGCAGAACAACCCAGGAACAAGCGGAAATGTGAATTAATTGTTTAGTAAATACCACATGGGGGCGTTTATAATCCAACTCTCTGAAGTTTGTGTGGGCTAGAACTATCAAGAGGCCGTCAATCATGTCTTCGTCTGTTTCGGAGGCTTTGTGAATTTGCCAACGGACAGAGAGAATCTATCGACCCCGGGTCGGGACGAAAAATAAATAGTAAAGCATGCCTATACATTCGATCACAACAGACACACTGTTGCAAATAGATGTGCATGCCATAGTGTAAATCTGTACATGTAGCCCTGTTGCAATCACATTTTTCAGGCCCGTCGGAGCCGGGGGGCTGGGGGGGGTTTCTGAAGCCCCACCAATAATTGTCTTACTGTAGTATGTTTCCTTTATAACAATGTACTGCATGGGAAGGAATACAATGGGCAACCTCTTACAACTTATAATTTGGATTAAAGAAGAGGTTTCCGCCTCAGTAAAAATGATTCTAGGCAAACCATCAGTTTCCTGGTTCCTGGATTTTCCGACTTTTATCCCACGACAGGGCATGATTTTTCTTGTAGGCACATCAATGTCATTTTTCTCCCCAGGCGATTGAATGGCGCAATATCGTGAAATTTTGATGGCAGGGTGACAAACACGCAACCAATGCTTGGCGTTTCCATCATCATCATAAAAAATTAATTTATCTAAATAAACTTAGTTGAAGAGCCATAATACACTCTAAATACAATCATATCTAAGTACACAAAATATAACGACATCAGAACTGAAATAAATAAATATTTTGACATATCCAGATATTCTTATTTTTATTTAGCTTTAAATTCTTTCCTATAAAACATAGCAAGTAGATAAACATAGAAAATTTCCAGAAGACCAGAGGTTTTCCGACAAAATAGGAGTCTAGCTCGAAGGGCAAATCACTCCAAGAAAATCTTGTACACCTTTCATGAAAATCCTATTGTTTTATCTGAAAATCCCTAGAAATCCTTAAGTTTTGGTAAAATCTTGTACGCAATTTTCAAGAGTGAATTGTCCCTCGGTCTAGCTCTACAGGGTTTTGTTGCCACCCTCTGATGCCCTCTATCTTAGCCACTGCCGCCAGAGCAGTTTACCCAGCATATCTATTTTAGCAACCAAAATAGCCCCCAGAGCAGCCACCATTTTCAAAAATTTCTGGGGGAGCATTCCCCATACCCCTTTAGGCATGCTTCACTATTTATTTTTCGTCCTGATCGGGGATCGATAGATTCGATCGTTGGCAAAATCACAAAGCCTCCGAAACAGACGAAGACATGATTGACGGCCTCTTGATAGTTCTAGCCCACACGAACTTCAGAGAGTTGGATTATAAACGCCCTCCTTTGTTTTTTACTAAACAATTAATTCACATTTCCGCTTGTTACTGGGTTGTTCTGCTTGTTCCTGTGTTGTTCTGCTTGTTCCTGGGTTGTTCTGCTTGTTACTGGGTTGTTATTGGGTTGTTCCGCTTGTTACTAGGTTGTTCCGCTTGTTCCTCGTTTTAGCAACGTCGGACCTGTGCAAGGGCCAAAGGTCACATACTAAGTAGATATACTGATAGTATTACAGAAGGCCCACTATTAAACCTAAGCTCAGCAGTCCTTACATTTAAGTTCTCTATTCTATTGATATTGCTAACTGTCAATTTGTATTAGCATAAAAGATATAAATATTTATATGCATTTATTACTAATTAGATACTATTAGATCTGGAATTATACTCACTTGGGATCACTTGGATCAAGTCCTGGGCAAGACAGTTTACCCTTTCTCTTCTCGATCTAGAAACAAAGTCTTTTATGTAAGATGCTGTTAAAAGTAGGAGTACTAATTGAAAATTACAATTTTAATTATAATACAACATGATAAGATGTGTTTCTGAGGACCTTAGCTAATTATTGTTTATGACAGTTTCTGGTTTCGTGCTCCTGTTTTTTAACCTTGGCCAAACAAATATATGCACTAGCAGTCAGGCAGCATTTAACGAAGTAAATTCTCTTACTTGCTTTCTTTGTGGTCCCTACTGCCTGTGCTACTGTTTGTCTATTACTAGAATGAAATTTTCAGGCTGCACTGACAACATCTTTTCATTGCCAAAGTTCCCTATTCCTATGCAGTGTGACAGGTGTGCAAAAGTGCTAGGCAGAGACTGTCACTTGGACCTTACAGTTGTCAGATGCAGGAAACAAACAAACTGGATGCTGTTTTCCTTGCAAAAACATGCAAGGAGTTTAGCTAAGCAATAAAATGACTATTAAAATTCACATTCTCCAACAGAATACATAAAGGGAATGTTGTCAAATGGAAACCTCACAAAAAATGCAAGTTGTCCATGTTCAGATCAGGTTGGTGAGGCAGCTCGTGGTGTCTATGATTTTTAATGTGCAGGTGCCTGGTCATGAAGTCACATTTGGCACAGCTACCTATGGTATTCACAGGGACTGGGGATGGTCTCCCAAGACCAAACATACAAGCGGTCCATCTAATAAATCTTGAAAATTATGAGGGGTATTGTAGGGATACAAACAATAAAGAAACTACATAACAGTACCTTGCATTAAACTTAAAGGCATTCAGGTTTTGCCATTTTGATATTACAATTGACATTCTGAACAGACATTAAAACTATTTTCATTTAGAAAATGTCTGAGTAGCCCCCAAGATATTGTGTCATTGTGAGTTTAGCTTTAGCAAAAAGAATCATTGGAAAAAAAATTTAGTGAAAAATGATAAAAGCATGCAAAAAGACTGTGCTGGTTACTTCAGTTTCAAAGATTTGGTCTGTGGTGTCAGTGAAGTATAACACTCTTCAAAATTGAATTACAGCATGAAGGCATGTTAAGGCAAATAATTTTTAAAAAAAATTAGGCATTTATTGCATCCACAGTTTAAGGTCCTGGTCCATGAAAGTTTTCTGACCCTGTCCTTTATGTGTGACAGTCAAATTTTTTTTGGATCTGCACCAGGAAATCTTTAGAGTTTAATATGTTCTTGCACAAGGTTTGCTTTCATCAAAATTGAGCCAATCGTTACAAATTATTGAAGTGGTAGAAATAGCGACCAGAAGGAGAAAAATAGATTTGCAACACTTTCATCAAGACAGATGCAAAACTTTAAACCTACATTTAATACACTTTGTTGCTGATGTATTTTGCTGTCATTGTTATTTGAGGGGGAGAATAAAAAATCTTAACTCTGACTTGCTTTTCTTCATTTTAAATCAGATTGAATCTTTATAGCTAATAATGTACTAAATATTAAGCTATCTTATTTTGACATTGATAGTGGCACAGACAAAGGAAAAGGTCCAGCAAGGCAGTAACCTTCCAAAGACCAGCCAGGATTATTAAGTTTTAAAGAATAATGAAACTAAACAAAACTGAAAGTAAATAAGAAACTGAAAGCGAGTTGAAGTTTTTTGGCTATGTGTAGCTGTAGCTGTCTGCAATTTTCAAGGTGAAAGCTGCAAGTGGAATGGAAAAAGAACAGGGTGTGGGAAGCATTGGGCTGGGGAGCTGGAGCTGTATTTTGTCTAGATCCAACGAGAAAGTGCCGGGAAGGGTAATATTTCAGCAAAGTATTTTTTGTGATTTGATTCTGTCATTTGTAAATTACCTTCAAGTTGGTCATGGGTAAATTACCTTGAAGTTGGTCCTTATCAGTAACATTGGTGTTCCCTGTTGGTAATGGGAGTTTTTAACAGTGAAACTTACATGTCCTGAAATTCTTACAGCCTAATGGCTGAGCTCCCCAATGCAAAGCTTTGCAACAGGTACAGCAAGAATTTGAGAAAAGTCCACATTCTCCTCGTGTTTGCACATTATATGGACATGGTCACTCTTTGCAAACCTAAACCCAGAAATGTGAAAACCACATGTTTTGATCAAAACAGTTTATGAGCACAAGTTAATCCAAACTCTAAGATAGTAGGCTATTTCACAACAATGTACACTTAGGGTACAAAAGTATGGAAGCAGTGTTAAAAATTGCGGCTCACAGTGGCCAAGAGCCTAAGGCGATAAATTTCCGAGTCTTTTTTATTGACCACAAGTATAGAAGTATACAGCTTCTTCGTTTATTGTCAGTTGCTTAATAGTACAAAAAAGATTGAGCTTGCATACCAAATAGAGGTAAACCAACGTAAAAACCAAAACAATGATGGCAGTAACAGCAAAGGCTGCATAGTCCGTTGAAACGTGGCTAACTAACTGCCTCATTCTTTTACGGTAAAATCACTGTGGTAAAATGGACCTGAACGCTTCACCTTTATTTTACGAGAATGATTACGGGAATCTACAATCAAAACGAGGAGGATTCGAAAGGTCAGAAACCGCCTCGTCCACGTGTACCTAGAAATATATATAACGACAGCACTCTTTATTTGAAAAGTAGCTCTTCACTTCAAAGGCCGGATAAAGGGAGACAGCACAGAATTACAACGAAAGTTACAGTTTTCTTTAAAGAGAAAAATTCCAGAAATTTTCCGACAAAATTGATATTGGCTTTAGCCCTCCACCCCACAGCATACCTTGTCGTTAACAGAATCACTTGGGGCAGAGGTGAAAGTAAATTATCCTTTGAATACAGGCACGTAGCCGAGTGGTGGCGTGGGGTGGCAATGCCACCCCTGGAGCAAGAGAGTATCAGCTGTTTGCCACCATGAGAACTCTGTCTCTACATTTTTTAATGGGTTTTTTTAGTTTTCGAAAAAAGCTTGGCGCTACTTGGGCACTACTCAGAAAAATTGCTGAAACAACTGCCTTCAACAACGTGCCTGCACAAGGGCATTTCAAAATCATATATTATAGGAAAAACACTTATTTGGACAATATACTATAGTATAAGTATATACATAGACAGGCAATGGTTTAAGAAGTAGGGGTGTTATGTGTTGTTATGCGAGAAAACGTATTGCCTGAGTTAGCCTTTGGAATCATCGAATATTGCAAAGATGGCATTTGAAACTACCTCAAAATCAAGATCATCAAGGAAGTTATAGAAACGAAGACCGTGGATTGGCTAAAGGATGGCTGCATCAGCTTAGAGAGGATGAGGCCAACTGGATGTTCCCTTTTTGTAAATTGCATACTGTTGGACATTCTTAAGCCAATACACAAAGTCATAAAGCAGTTTCAAACTTCGAGCATAAATCTTTAACAGTGCTGTCTGGATTGACGCCCCCAAAACGCCCCCAAAAGCTTTGTGATCACAAAGAAGCTGATACTAGAATGAATGTTTGTCTACGTGAAGAGTATTTCCAGTTCAAGATATGGAAGATTCGCAATCGAAACGGTCGACACTGATGTTATCATAATAACAATTGAATTGTTTCTTCAGCTCAGCTGAGTACAGCTTTGGGTCGAGTTTGGGACAGGAGAAGATAAAAGATGGTTACCACTCCACGATTACACAAAAGCACTTAAAGAAAGGGTTTGCTTTGGCCTCTTATTTAGGCACGCGTTTACTGGCTGTGACACAGTTTCTTCATTTTGTAAAACAGGCAAAATTTGTTTGAAAGATTTTTTTTCATGTAATGGTAGCTTTCGTTGCTCTATCAAGTGCTACTTACCAGTGGCGTAACCGACGAAGGTTGGGGTTCGAACAACTCCTAAGGGTCCCCTAGGAGGGGCCGTGTAAAGGTTTTCACGATTAAGGTTTGTTTGTATTAGTTAACGTGAAAAGTGATTTGAGAAATAAAAATTCTTCTGGCAACATGTTACATTAAGACACTTAGTTCGCAAAGAACAGTAGTTTCCTTTTAACTGAGACCATTGTTTATTCAAGTTTACTGTATGAAACGTCCGTTTCAATCTTCACAGTTTTTGAAAAATTATTTGGATAAGATGTCTTCAAAAAGAAAATGCAATGCTAGAGCCTTCAAGAGAATAAGGAAACATTAAGCAGCACTTTCCAATACAAGGCAAATGGCTTTTTACTTTTCACTTGGAATATTCGACCATGACATGACATTCCACGTAAAAAATACTTCTAAAAGAAACAGAGAACCGAAGCAGGGGAAAGTCAAAGTGCTGCAAAATGTCGGAAGTTTAGTGGTGCAAAATATAAGATGATGGTGTTTAAAGCCAATCTGGAGGGTGTGGTAGCAAAAATATTCCCGGACCCATCTCCTTTTCCATTGGAAAAGTCTCCTCTTTTGATCTCATATACCTCCAGCGTCCCTTTTTTTTGACCCCGAAATATCAAAGATGTTGAACCATCAACTTCAAGCTCGACTCATCTATATTAACTTTCCGCTTTGAAGTCTGTGGCGTTGGCCGTATATTCCTTCGCTAAGCGACACTTTTGCCAGGATGAATGACTTTGAGAAAATGCCTGATAATTAACCTCTTTGATATTTTTCACTATCTGAAATTGTTTTGTTTCATATTGATATTTCAATTTCATTATCGCATAAACTATTTATCTTGCTGACTTCTTTTTTTGTCTGGTTTTGGAAAAAATATCATTGTTCAAGGGCCTCCGAGCAAAGTATTACTAACGGCCCTAAACTGTTCCGTTACGCCACTACTACAACTGCAGTTACCAATGAACTCGTGACCAATTCCTACGTACGAGCTTAGACAATAAAGTTTCAGAATTGTATCAAAATTTTACAAGAAAAGCAGATTTTCATCTTATTCATCATATCAAATTACGCCAGAGGACTCGAAGGAAAACTAGGTACAAGTATCCCAATCTAGAAATAGATTTGGGGCGTTTTTGAAGTGGGGTCTACATCTTATCTTATTCAGCATGTCAAATTACGCAAGAGAACAATTTGTTGGTTTATGACATGAACAGTTTAAAAGATATAGAAGAAGACCTAAAAGCGGACTGGGTACAGGTACCCAAGTCTAAAAATAGCTTTTGGGGGCATTTTTGAATATGCTTTTGAACCAAAAGGACATTTTATGACAGAAAGGCCCTTCCACCTCATTGGGCCCTTCGTTATTAGCACAGTTGCCAAGTAGAGCTGCTCCTCCTCAGAGGGACCTGGAAGTTTGGTCCCCGGATATTCACGTGACTGTGGGTCTGCGTTCTGTATTTCCTAGTTCCGACTTTTAATTGGCATTGGACCTCGTTGCATCAAAAATAATGCAAGAAGGCAGTTCAGAGAATATGGTTATTTCGTAAATCGGCGAGAAAAGAAAACTCAGAGCTATAAAGTTCTGAATATAACACTGCAATAACGTTTCAATGTAAGTATTATATGAAAATTCAACTGATTTTAGTCCTAGGTAATTGTTATTTTTTATCGGTTTCTGTTTTTATTCTAAAGTGAAAGTAAATTTTGAGTTTTGTTGGACTACATTCATCAAATTTTAGTTTGCTATACACGTGCTTATATGAATTAGCATCTATTGATTGCCATTAAATGGATGCACTACCAGGGCCATGCTACTCTCTATCGCTAGATTTGTGGGTAAAATTCGAAAATTTTGCAAATTGCTACTTTATCAGAATTTGCAGAAAAAGTCTTCAGCGCCCCAAAAACTTTGACTTTGACACTGGAAAAAGTGACTTGCAACCTTAGGAAATTGAAAATATACCCAATGTAATTGTTTTTGAAAACTCCAGATAATACCATGTGAGATGGAATTCCTAAAAGAATAAACACCTAATGAAATCGGGATGTTCTCATGGAAATGCAACCAGATATAAACAATAATTGCAATAATGACTTGATTTTTACAGTCATTAATATGATCACAGTTGCCACAAAGGTAGAAAGAAAAGTTAAAAGAATAGCTAGAATTATCTTCTATACACTTAAACCAAAATGACCTGGAATGTTTATACTCATAAAAGAGGAATGCAGGACATGGCCTGGATCCTTTCCTCTTTTTTTTAATGTTAATATTTGTTTTACACTATGCTCAGTGGCGTGGTGGGAATTTTTTAAGGGCTAGGAAAATCAAGTTTTTAGGGGCTTGCCATTTTGATACTGATTGTTTCTTGATATGTTGATGTGTCAGAATCGAGTGTCGCAGAGGCAGCCAATATATGCCTCTGTCACAATTCAAGCATACAATAGATGCCCATATATCAGCAGAAAATTTATAATATATCCAAAACTCATCTGCTAACGAAATATGAAGCTTATGCAGGACCCTTTTTTGTCAATCCTTTTATTCATAATTTTTCTGAAAATTTCATCAAACCTTCCATGCTAATTTTTTTACCCTTTAAAAGTCTTCTTTATGGGTACATCTAGTCTTTTTTCTTTAATGCTTTAAAGCTTAGTATTTTTTCGGTTGTGAAACAGTTTTGTCTATGCAGTTTCACTAAATTTATTTATGATAGCATATTTTCCTACTAGATTTAGAATCACATAATGTCTATGAATCCAAAAGGTGTTATACCAGGAGGGGCTATGGGAGGCTGATCAATAAGCTAACAAAAGATTAGATACTCCCGCAAAAATTAATGTAATGCTCTTTGGTTTCAGATCTCCCATCTTCTCTTTGCACAAATACTTAAATGACACTATACAAAAATGTTAACTTTTTTACTGCACCCCCTAATCAATTATAATTTTTAACCCCGAGACCACCTATCTGATGTATTTCATATCAATTCCTGCATGCAGTTTAAGTTTCAACAACATTTGTTATGTAAGCTGCCAAAATTTGTGTGAAGATTCAGTATTACTGGTGAATCAATCCACTTAGGGTGAATATAAGTTTTACAAACAAATGTAGGGGAAATTGAAATATGTTTCTGAAAGTGGTAACTGAATTCCATGCTTAAATCAAAACATAAAGGATATTCAAGCAGTTATTCTGCTCTACAATTCTGATAGCTAAATCAAGTGTGCTTTGCAGCAACTGTTAAGTAATAGAGCAAATGCAATCCAGCTAGAGGCAAAGGATCACATAGCATGGACAGAAGAAAGTTTGAAGATTTTTCTCAAGGAAAAAAGCGCTCTCTTAGCGTCCTCTTCAAGTCTTTGATATTCAAGTCATTGATACTCTTTGTAGCAGAAGAGATCCTGTTTACTTGGCAGCTTTTTAGACCAATTGAAAAATTTGTTGATAGAAACTATTAAAAAGAGAGTTCAAAGAAAAGATTTCTTTGAAAAACCAAAATGCAATTCTTCCATTTGTGATGTAACACCATTTGTCCAAGCAAACTTTGGACTCCAGGGACTAAAGAAGGAACTGAAATGACCCAAATTTATTTCAATTTTTACACTAGAAATGGATTTTTTAGTTCCTCCCTTAGGCAGTTGGAAGACTTTTAATGCCCAATACCTGAAATTAAAAAGTATTGTTCTGCTATGCTAATGGCTTTATATAAAAGAGTAGCAGTTATCAGCAGCATCAGCATGAAGGTAAAATGGGTTAGGGCTCAGTTCCGAGCAAATGATGTAGAACAAAGTTCTAAGTTGGGCATTCCTTCATATACATATATAAGGTGGCCTGTGTTCCAGACCCCTAACTTGAAAGGCTAATATAAGGGACACAATACAACCTTTCTGTATTACAAAAGCTCAATACGGATGTATTTTAAAAATATTGTACTATTTTGAATAGCACTGAAAAAAGTGACCTATTCAAACACAGTAGATATTTCATATTTCAAATCCGAAGTGTCCTCATCTGAAGTTGAGTTTACTTTTTATATATGACATGTTTTATATGACATATGGGCAAAACGATAAATGGGTCGCTATAGCTGGCTCCAGAGAATCTCCTTATATATTATTCATTTTAGGTTGCGAGGAAAACCAAGAGGAAAAAAGTAATTAAAAATAATCTGAAATCAAATCATGCAAATTTGCAGTTGCAACTTTGGGATGTTCAACCAGGAGTAATGTCATTTAAAGTGGAGAAAATGAAAATATTTATGATTTATCAGCAAAAAACCACAAAGGTTACAACATGGATGCAAAAAGACATCACCCATGTATCTAAGTAATCTGTTACATCATTCAATCCAGAACTGGCTAATACTGAACCCTGGGCATTGAAATCACTGAGGATACATCATTGTAAATGTTTTTGTGAAACTCTAACAATAGATTTCTTTAGGGCTAGCCATCTGTAGAAATCAGATGGTACATATCTGAAAATGTTGATTTTTCTCTAAACACAGTTAAATATTTTTGTGAGATAGTTAAATCTTTTAAGCCAATGTTTATTTTCCAAAATTTTAATTGCTTTTACACTTTGGGATCAGTTTGGGATCAGCAGGGGCAGACACTTGGTAAAATATTGCCAGGCAAGCCTATTGTTTTGATAAGATGACATCACATTTTCCCATTGTTTTAGAACAAAAGACCATTGTCCTTCAAAATATTGGGGGGCAACCATCCTCTGGCCCCCAGGTGTCTGCAACTGATTGCAAGTGAACACCTTTAAATTTGATATAAGTAATATCTAACAAAACACTGCTTTATGTTGATGCTTGATATGGAACTATGAAGTCTTACTTAGAACCCCTTCCATTAACCTCCTTTTTTGCATCCCGAATTCTTCGTGGAACAGGCTCTGTTGTCTGAAGCAAGAATACCTTTGACAAGAGCAAGCCTTGACAATGCGAATGAGCCTTTGCTCTTTTTATTTTTATCATGTTTTAGTATGGTTTCTAGTCCTTTTTACATAGCCAACTTTTGTGATCTATTTTTGATCTATTTTTGACTTATTGTTCAAACATTCAAACAACAGGTATCATTGACACACCTAGTTGAGAACAATTTAATTCCAGACAGTAGATGGACCAAATTCGACTTTCTCTCTGTTTAGGGCAAACAAAGACATGAAAATTGGCCAAGGAAAAATGTCTAGAAACCATAATACTAAAACAGGATAGAAATGTAAGAGCAACAGCTGATTTGCCTCATCACAGCTTGCTCTTGTCAAATGTGGTCTTGTTTTGGACAACAGAGAAAAAGGCAGTTTATCAGAAAATTCTAAGTTGGACTATTTTAGTTCTGTTATTTTATTTTGATATAAGAATATATTGAAGAGATTAAGTGCCACAGGCCCACAGTTCTTCTTGAAAAAAATGGAGACACCATTGTGACAAAGATCCAGTTGTCATCTTTTTCTGCCATATAGGCTATCAATGATGAGCCGACCTGTATTACTTGATTAAACATGAATGATAAATTTGTTTTTTATTAATAAATATATTCAGAAAAAATTATATTCTTCCTTAGCAACAAAAGGATTAAGCATGGTAATCCAGAAACTGCTTGTCATTCTATGGTCATCCATATTGGCAACAGCAACAAAAGATAATATAATCTGTCCAGATGGTAAATCCATGTGTGGTGATTCTGAAACCTGTTGCCAAATGAAATCAGGGGATTATGGCTGTTGCCCACTTCCAAATGCAGTGTGCTGTACAGATAATGTTCATTGTTGTCCCTCTGGGTATACTTGCAATTTAGAAACAGTGTCTTGTGACAGGCAAGGTCATAAAATGCCACTTTTTGACCAAATATCTGCCAAGCCAGTATCACATCAAATCAATAAAGGCAATCTTGTTCAAGTTTTGGGTTTGAGTAGAGTTATGTGTCCTGATCACTCTTCATATTGCCAAGATGGCAACACCTGCTGTAAGACAGAGACTGGCACATACGCATGTTGTCCATTGCCTTCTGCAGTTTGTTGCCCTGATCACATTCATTGCTGTCCAAATGGATATTCATGTTCAGAAGGATTTTGTCAAAAGGGAAATAATTTTGTTCTAATGAAGAGAAAGATTAATGCCATTAAGGCTTTTAAAGAAAAGACTGAGTCTTGTGATCATGGCCATGGACATTGTCAGCCGGATGAAACTTGCTGTCCAATGAAAGAAGGAGAGTTTGGTTGTTGCCCAATGACGGATGCTGTCTGCTGTTCTGACAAGGAACATTGTTGTCCCCATGGTTTTAAATGTAATGATTTTGAATCGAGGTGCACTGCAAATGGAATTTCCATTCCATATCTACCAAAGATTAAACCAAAGAAAACATCCACCATCATCAAACTTCACAGCTTGACAGAACTCAGTTTAAATGAAGGAAATACAGTTTTCTGTCCTGATCATATCACACAGTGCCCTGAAAATTTCAGTTGTTGCAAAGACATTTTTGGATTGTGGGAGTGCTGTCCTTTTCCAAATGCTACATGTTGCAATGACCACAGGCACTGCTGCCCATATGGCACAGTATGTCATATATTAAATATGACTTGCATTAAGAAAGATTCTGGTTTATCTATACCCTGGGTATCTAAACAAAGGGCTAAAAGAACAGTTCCATACACAACCACATGCCCAGATATGACCACATGCCCTACTGGTTACACTTGCTGCCTACTCTCAACAGGAATGTATGGTTGTTGCCCATATCAAAATGCAGTTTGCTGTTCAGACAAAAGTCATTGCTGCCCCCAAGGTACAACATGTGACATTGCTCATGGTGTGTGCTTGCAAGAAACCATGGCTAGTCTTCAACTGACATTAAATAAATTTCTAATTGATACGAAACCTGACAGTCATAAAATTTGTCCAGATCACAAGTCATTTTGTCATGCTGGAAGCACTTGCTGTCAACTTTCTGGTGGGACTTATGGTTGCTGCCCATACAAAGATGCTGTTTGTTGTGAGGATAAAGAACATTGCTGCCCACATGGAATGACTTGTGATACACAAAGAGGAAGGTGTCTTAAAAAATACGTGGTCGCCCTAATGAAGAGGAAATTACCTAGTTTCAGCAAAAGTTTGCCATCCAAAGTTTCTTGTAAAGATGGCTCCTCATGTCCATCTGGATATACTTGCTGCAAACTGTCCGCTGGTGGTTATGGTTGCTGTCCATATAAAGAAGCAGTTTGTTGCAGCGATGGGAAACATTGCTGTCCACACGGAACAACTTGCAATCTTGCTGGAGGCACATGTGATGGTGGAATGAAGTCAATGGCAATTTCCGAGATTGCAAAAAGCGTGAAAGATGTAAGTTGTCCTGATGGAAGCTCATGTCCATCTGGATATACTTGCTGCAAACTGTCCACTGGTGGTTATGGTTGCTGTCCATATGAAGAAGCAGTTTGTTGTAGCGATGGGAAACATTGCTGTCCACACGGAACAACTTGCAATGTTGCTGGAGGCACATGTGATGGTGGAATGAAGTCAATGGCAATTTCAGAAATTACAAAGAGCGTGAAAGATGTAAGTTGTCCTGATGGAAGCTCATGTCCATCTGGATATACTTGCTGCAAACTGTCCGCTGGTGGTTATGGTTGCTGTCCATATGAAGAAGCAGTTTGTTGTAGCGATGGGAAACATTGCTGTCCACACGGAACAACTTGCAATGTTGCTGGAGGCACATGTGATGGTGGAATGAAGTCAATGGCAATTTCAGAAATTAGAAAGAGCGTGAAAGATGTAAGTTGTCCTGATGGAAGCTCATGTCCATCTGGATATACTTGCTGCAAACTGTCCGCTGGTGGTTATGGTTGCTGTCCATATGAAGAAGCAGTTTGTTGTAGCGATGGGAAACATTGCTGTCCACACGGAACAACTTGCAATGTTGCTGGAGGCACATGTGATGGTGGAATGAAGTCAATGGCAATTTCAGAAATTACAAAGAGCGTGAAAGATGTAAGTTGTCCTGATGGAAGCTCATGTCCATCTGGATATACTTGCTGCAAACTGTCCGCTGGTGGTTATGGTTGCTGTCCATATAAAGAAGCAGTTTGTTGTAGCGATGGGAAACATTGCTGTCCACACGGAACAACTTGCAATGTTGCTGGAGGCACATGTGATGGTGGAATGAAGTCAATGGCAATTTCCGAGATTGCAAAGAGCGTTAAAGATGTAAGTTGTCCTGATGGAAGCTCATGTCCATCTGGATATACTTGCTGCAAACTGTCCGCTGGTGGTTATGGTTGCTGTCCATATGAAGAAGCAGTTTGTTGTAGCGATGGGAAACATTGCTGTCCACACGGAACAACTTGCAATGTTGCTGGAGGCACATGTGATGGTGGAATGAAGTCAATGGCAATTTCAGAAATTACAAAGAGCGTGAAAGATGTAAGTTGTCCTGATGGAAGCTCATGTCCATCTGGATATACTTGCTGCAAACTGTCCGCTGGTGGTTATGGTTGCTGTCCATATGAAGAAGCAGTTTGTTGTAGCGATGGGAAACATTGCTGTCCACACGGAACAACTTGCAATGTTGCTGGAGGCACATGTGATGGGGGAATGAAGTCTATGGCAGTTTCAACAGTTTTCAAAAGTGTTAAAATTTCCTTTCCCCTCTCTTCAGGTTATGGGGATGTTGTTTGCCCTGACGGTCTTAGCTCTTGCCCTGATGGATATACATGCTGTAAATTGAGTTCAGGTGAATATGGATGTTGCCCTTTCTTATCAGCCGTCTGTTGTAGTGATGGTCAACATTGCTGTCCGAAGGGTACGAGATGTGATCTTTCAACACAGACTTGTATTGGTAAAAGTCTATTCGTAAGGATGAAGAAAAAGGTGACTGCTGTTAAGACAGAGAACATTGTCCTTATGAGATGCCCTGATGAATTAAGCTCCTGTCCTCGAGGCTTTTCTTGCTGTAAACTTTCAAGTGGTGACTATGGGTGTTGTCCATATCGGAATGCAGTGTGTTGCCAAGACAAAGAACATTGCTGTCCTCTTGGAATGTCATGTGATTTGAAATCTGGACACTGTATTGCTCGCAATGATATTGTTTCTTTGCAAAAAAATGTTGCTGCTGCAAGTGTTCGTAGTGTTGTATGTCCGGACGGGAAACATCAATGTCCGGACGTATATACCTGCTGTGTTGTAGGGGACGATAAATATGGTTGTTGCCCGTACCAACATGCGGTTTGTTGTTCTGACAAAAAGCATTGCTGCCCAAGTGGATTCACATGTGGTGCGCAAGGTAGGTGATGATTTTATTTCGGATGTAGCATAAGCCTTCTTTCCATCAGGAAACACTTTATTTTGTTTGATCAAAAGCAAAATGGCTTTCTAAATTCATTACACGGCCCAGAAGATGCTCCTTGTTGTCAAAATATGCTGTTTGTTGCAATGGAAGCGAAGGACAAATTATTGTTTACTTTTTTGGTGATTTGTCTCGTAATGCGCTTAGGCGACTCATTTTAGCTAAGATTTGTAACTTTTTTCCCCTGCCTGTCATGCTTCTGCTGTTGCCGAGAAGGATGTTAAGAAGAGGCTTGCAAAGTGAAAGGTTTGCAGTTTGTTTTCTACCATGTTTGAATTTAAGCCAATATTTGACAAATTTTGTGTTTGGGGTACTTTCAGTAGAAGCAAGTCAGATTTCGAAAAGTAAAGTTTTGATTGATTACGTTTGCATACCATGGTTTATAAATTTTTTCGGATAGGTTACTGCACCAGGGGACCAGTCACAATAAAGGCTCATGCTCATTCACCTTTGTCTCGGCATGAAAGTCTTGAATCGGTCAATGACGATGACATCATGTGCCCAGATAACGAAACAATCTGTTTGGAAGGGACCAGCTGCTGCCTAACGCAGGATAAGAAAACCTTCAGTTGCTGTCCAATTGAAAAGGCAGTTTGCTGCGATGACCATATTCATTGTTGCCCAAGCGGCTGGCATTGTGACATCGAGCAAGGTAATGAAATTCTTTGCAATAAATCGAATCGCAGTTGCATTCTTGTTCGAAATTTTCGAAGGGTTCTGGATGCAAGCAGCTCAGATTTCAATTTTCTCTTTAGCCTACTATCTAGAATTTTCAATTTCTATCTTGAATTAAATTTGGTAAATTTTGGAGTTTTAAATTAAATTTTCAGATTTACCCAAAATTCTGATGGGCTGATTTTCCGTCTCCTTGGCAGTAGTGAAGTAACAGCGATAGGCTTGTTTTTTAACACCCTTTGATAGCTAAAAATATCGTTGTTTGGGCTTTCATGAGGCACGGCAAATGGCTAGTTTGCACTCCTCAAAAGCTTGCCCAACACCCTCTTTCATTCTTTTATATAGAACAATTTTGAGAAAACCGTCCAGTATTCAATTTTTATAGGTTTATTATAATGTTTTCTTTATTTTGATTGACTGTTATATAAAACTGGTTTGTTGTGTGTTTATTGTTGCACATTTTTTCATCGCAGGAACTTGCCGAAAAGGGAGTAAGGGCTTTACGAATAGCCCATTGCTGAAGAAAATCCCTGGAAGGAAGATAAAACGTAAGTAGTTATGTACGTCTCTTATAACTTTTGTTACCTTATATTGTATGAAGTTATAATACCACTCCATAAGAGCAAGCATATGTCTTTCTTTCGTGATTGCATGTTAACAAGATGAACTAAAGAACCTTATCTTGTCTTGATGTTAACAACTCCCTCCAGACAGAAAAATTCAAAATATTATACGAGTACGAATGAAAATTATTTGAACGTTTGTTTCTTTACACACGGGTAAGACAATTGGTCATTTTTACATTTCCTAATCCCGGGGTGCCGTGGAGGGGGTGGGGTGCTCAGCCCTCTTTTTAAATTTCAGGGAGATTTTAAGGGAGCTCAGCCTACCTTAACAAGCCAGGCTGAGCATGACCCCAATATGTTTGGTTGGGCGAATTCCTTACTTGGCAAAGTAAACTAACTTTTATAATGCTATTTATTTCCCATCAGTGGGAAATGTTTATTAGCCTGTTAGAGTCGGTGAATAGTTTGAATGATTTCGTATTCGCAACAGAGAATTTTACCACAAATGCGAGTATGAAGGGGTGGTCGTCTTTGGTGTGGCTTCTAGACGTTGGCTACAGTCCGACGCCACTTTGTAGCTATTTAGGAAGGCACCCCTGCCATAATGCTGCTACTGTTTTGGCAATAGGTACACCTTCAAGTCATTTAATTAATTTTCGTCTTCCTTGCAGGTCAATCGACGAAAGATACAAACACACATTACATCAAATTCCCTTAGATACAGCTTATATTGTAGCGCTTCCTCAAGTAGGTATGCGCGAAAAAAGACTTTTATGACAACCTAGAATTAATAGTTAAGTAATTTTGATTTGATATAAATTTGTAGCAGTCCGTTAAGCAAACAATGTTTAATGTTACAGTATTAGGATGGTATAATCTGTGCCTTACCAGAAGCTAAATGATCAGCGAATTAACCATTGTACTCTTCGTTTTTCACCCTCTTATTTTTGAAGGTTAAAACTGTCCACTTGGTAGTAAATTAATCAATCAATCTGTGATCCTATTTAGGCCCAAAACTGAGTTTTCAGTCTCTTAAACCTTATAGTCTCTTACATTACAGTGCAAGATCCAAATAGCGTATTCCAATGGATAAGAATGAGTAAGGTTATCTCGTGTATTCAAAAAGCATCGATTCTTTTTCCTTTTTTCAATGTTACATTGTTTTAATTCAAATAAAGCAATATTTTTCTTCGGACTTTTCACCCCGTTATTATTCCTTCGATTAGGTGCCTATTACTAAATCTCATGTTAAGCCTTAGGAAATGGCCTTTGCAGTAACCAGCAGCCAGTATTCTAAAGTATCAGAATTTTTCACCTAGAACATAAGTTGGTTAATATTTTGTGATAATGTTGTGGACTGCCGTTGTACTATTTTTTTTGGAACCTGTTAAGAAAAAGAATTTAATTCTGATAGATCTTGATATATGCATTTTTTAAATTGTTTTTTATGCTTGGAATATGTCGAATTGTGTCTGATCATAAACGTAGCTGTTTACCTGCCGAAATTAAAGGTTTATAAAAAATAGTCTGTCGAATTTTCAAAATGTACGTCTCCATTTCATAGAAAATATTTTAGACAAAACAAAACCATGCTCTCATAAGAGATACACGTGGACAATGTAGAGCTCTTTTCAAAACATCTGATCGGATCCAGATGGCAACACATCTAGACTGGTACAGATCAGATTTAGATCTGCTACACGTGACTGTTTGAATCAGGGTAATCCCCAACGAAATCCTTGACGTCAGATTTTTTCGAAGAACCAGACCCTAAGACCCTAGGACTCCCGGACCCCTTGGTTCCTTAAGTACCAGGGCCGTAAATCTGTCATGTCAATCGGGGGGGGTCAGCAGAGCGAATGAATATAAAGTGTGCAGTGGGTCATGGCACCACCAAGCAATTTATAGTGTGTGTTAAAGAAACAGTTTGAGTGGCAAACGATTTAAAAAACAAAAATAATTGTAGATTTACTAAGGTTTTTCAGCCCTAAAGAGGGTATTTACAGATATTTCTTAGCACGTTGACTTTTTGTATTTGAGTTGATAACATTTTTCAGAGACAGCTTGAATAAATTAAACCTAGGGGGCTGAGAATCATGTTTAGTGATGTAGGAGGACCCACCATGGTTGGGTCGTGAAAGGAAATTTTTGAAATCATACCTTCTAAATAGCTATAAAAGCATCTCCCTGACCAAGTTTAACAAAATACTATACCGTTCATGATAGGCAAATCGACGTTTCTCAGAAGAACAGAGACTATTGTTTCTGGGAGAAATTGGGAAGGGGAAGAGTCTAGTGACGGATATTGGGGAAATGCTTAAACTCTAGTGACAGACATTGGAGAAAAGAAAGAAAAGGTGTTTTCTATTCGAGAGCAAGCGTTTTTTTTCTTGAAACCATATCGGATTCGAAAACAATTAGGATGTATCTAAGAACATATTCGGGCTCCAAATGAAAATTTTTTTAAAAAAATCAAGGATGGGCAAAATTTATTGCATTCTAACAATAAAGAGTTTAGTCATTACTTCTCTCTATATTAAATGCAAAAGTACTCCTTTGTTGCCGTGATACTTTTTGCGTAAATTACGCAAATTAATTTTACTTCTTGCCCTCTTTGTCTTCTGGCCTTGTTCCTTGTTCCTGTGCAGTCAAAATTAAGGAGCTATTATGGATGTCTTGGTACCTCAATCTGACTAATAGAGGTTCAGAAATTAGGAACGACAGGACCTAGCTTTTGAGTAAGGATTTTTATAAAAAGGCGTGTATAAAAATATGTGTAATATGAGTTTGTCGAGATTTATGGCGACTTAAACGATTCTTTTCTTACATGCTTTTTGAGACTTATTCAAGGGGAGACCGGTGGATAAAATATTTGGGGCTAATTGCCCCTCCATGGGCATCGTCACCGACTCGACACCACTCTGCAAACAGCCATCTACAATAGTCGATTTGCACTTGGCAATAGTCACCATGACATAGTGGCTGAGGTATGTTACAATAACTCAGCGAAACTTTGTCAGGTTCTAACCCAGCTGCCGGGGATTCCTTTCTTTAAAAGTAAATGACGATAATTTCTAAAAAAATCGTTTTGCTCCAGATTTTTGGGGGGGTCCAGTCCCCCCCGTCCCCCCCCGGGATTTACGGCCCTGTTAAGTACTGAATGCAAGCCACTACATACTGTTTACCTAATTGAACGGGGGCTACTCTGCTTGAACAGAAGAGTTGTACAGGCATACTTCAGAGACCCACAGGTATCCCTCGGTCTAGCAACATCATGTTTTGATTTCGTGACATTCAGTCCATAGGTTTCTACGAGACATGGATGAAGAAGAAGAAATAACGGTTTTAGTCTAACGGGAGATAACGGGAGAGTTTTAGTCTTCTGTCCTTTCCAGAGAAAAAGAAAACAGACGATGTCTGTGAAAAGGAGGTAAAAACTTCCCTGGAAAATAGGCCTACGTTTCGCTGTTTTTCACACGTTTATGTAAATAAAGGAAAGGTCACAATAGCAGATTGTTCGACAGAGAGCTCTGATGCAGCCCCGTAAGCCGGTGCGAAATATTAGCTACCATTAATTTTCGTGTGTTCTCTTTTGCCCTGCCATAATTTTGTTGGAAAAGAACCATACTTGCACGAATAGCCCCCTAGAATTAAAGGAGAAACACGCCATTCACGTGCTACAGCATAATACGTTTTATCCAAAAAAACCTAATAACAGTTACTTCTTATTGCTTTAAGCCTCTTGAAAACGTTTAATTTATATGTGCCCAGACCTAAAACTACATAATCCAGAGTAAATGTTCACATTTCTTAAATGCGGTAAGCTTGATAAATATCAAAAGTTTTTACCAATAAAATTATATTTGCAAAATAGAATTATGATTGCTCTATTGATTTTTATCTACAACAGCAATTCTTTTCATTCCTTTAGTTCCATTATTTTCATTTGAATTAGTTTTAAAATTCCACTACATACTGAAATCATTCAATATGCAACAATTAACAAGGATTACATAACAAGTTTGCAAAAAATGAAGAACAACATACTATAAATAAATACAGAAAATCGATAGAAATTTGTAGGGAGGGAAATTTCTTAAGGAGGGGCTCTCTAAGCTAATCTAAGTTTTGGTATCATATCTGAGTAAAAGAGACAATACAAACGCAAAAGGTTCCCATTATGGTGTGAAGGTGCCTTTTTAAATTTTTCCTAAATGAAAAGTTAGACGATAAATTTTGTATTTCCCTCTGTAACTCATTCCATAGCTTGGCCTCCATGTTCCTTTAGTGTCCATTATGTCTCATCTCTTTCCATAGACTGTTAAATATTTTAATTCTGTGGCGCCGTACTGAATTCAAAGATATGGTCAGAACTAACATTTTCAAGATAAAAATAACTTTTCGGTGAACATGTTAGCTCTAGATAAAAAAATTAAAAAGAGAACAATATCTTTCTGAATAATCAGTGGTGGATCCAGGGGGGTGCAAAGGTACCCTGGGTACCAGAGCCGCAAAAATTAAAATTAAAAAATCAGCTCTCACTCTCATAATTTTTTAATTTTAATTTTTGCGGCTCTGGTACCCAGGGTAGTGCAAAGGGTGCTTGAGCACCGGTCAGATTTTCAAAGTACTGTTTTTTGTACCTGTTTCTGTGCGTGTTTCCGAAGAAAGCTAAAGATTAATACTGATTCGATGTTTTCATATATTTTGCATGAAAAATATCCTTTTATCTAAAGAATTTTCTTTTGTCGCGTTAATGTTTACAATCGTGGCATATTCACTGGAACGAAATTCTGGTAGAATGCAAGTGCTGACCAATTAGATTGCGGATAACAAAATCATCCTCCAATGAAATCCCATTATTCTATGCTATTCCGAGCACCGGTGGGTTCGTAAATTACAATTGTCACGAACGGAGCTAGCCAATCAACTCTTCTCACCGGTGCTCAGATCCAGCATTATCCAATCATTTGCTTTATCACTGGTGTACAACGTAATCTGAGCACCGGTCAAGACGAAATAGCCAATAAAAATTCAGGGAAATTGATGGATAGGGAACTGGCATAGGCTTTTGGGATTTGCGGCAACTCTCTTTGTATTACGGGGTGCATGAACAGAAACATTGCTTTAATATTTATGGCAAAAGAAAAGCCTGGTCAAAGAAATGCGGATGTTTTCGAGCTTTATTGGGACGACAATAGCGCTGACTCGTTCACTGATTCACAGCTCTTTTCCGCAAGTGTATCAGGTAAGTGGAAACATAAAATGAAAAATTGCAAGACATCGGAAAATATTATATGCATCTGGTTGAGGAATAGGGTGACATGCCAGGTTGCGTTTTATTAGCCATGTTATTAGTTGATTTGAGTTTCGCAAACGTGAATCAATGTTGTTTGCTTTGAGGTACCCTGGGTACCAGACTCACTATATAAAATAATAGAGAGTCTGGTCTAGTGCGCCCCATTCTCGTTCTGGTGAACTTACTTGAAAGAACTGAAGTCTATTTAACAGACTAGGCCTGTGAAACAAGACTGTCAGATAAATAACAAAGAAACTCAGTAGTCAGAGGAGTTTTGAGAAATCTTAAAACAAATGTGTTTTATTTAGTTCTTTAAAGTCGACATTTTTAATACAGTGGTAATAGACTTTTCTGCCTCAAGATAACAATCAAATCAGGTTTGAAACGCAGTTTGGCAGCAAAAAACATGTGCGAAGCATGAAATTAAAGTTAGCACAATGCAGTTATTAAATGTTAATCATTATCAAATTTCGTATACAACTTGAAATAAGTCTTTTGTAATTTTCTCATAAATTGTGGGTACTTTGAACGTCTACTTCCTCACTGTGAAGGCAGCGCGCTTGGACACCGCGGCGGTTAGAATCATCACGTTGGAAGGTCACCACAGCAAATATGGCCAATACGACAAGCGAAGCCCCGTATGCCAGGCGAAATATTAGCTATAACTGATTAACTGTGTTTGTTGTTGTTTGTTCTCGGCGCCTTGCGGTGTTTCTTATCTACTGCATTTCACTACAAGGCCTAATTTCTTTGCAACGAGAGGCACAGCCTGAAATATCAGAGACTTTCCAAAGCCAGTTGGCAATATGGCGAAGGTGTCTCTTCTCTTTACAAACAAGGCTTTCAATGCTGTTCTGTTCTCAGTTCCACAACATGCGGAAAATATTCTTTGAGTACAGTTTTAATTTAACAGCATCTTCAAACTCAATCGTTACGGTCGCTATCATCTATTTATGTTCTGTTCTGTTCGATGTTTTACACCAGAGCTAAGTTTATTGTTTCGCTGTGACCTTTGAACGTACAGAAATCTGTACACTCGGTTAATATCAGCACACCAGAACGAGAATGGGGCGCACTAGACCAGACTCTCTATTTCATTTCATATATAGTGAGTCTGGTACCCAGGGTAGCTTTGAGGTAACCAACTATGAATTGCTCAACATTTCTCAAATATATCCCTAACCAGTAAAACTTACCAGCCTACAACTGCCTTTATATTTTTTTTCTATACCTTTCCTTTTTCGTCTTTATCCCCTTTACTTGTAATTCATTTTATTTTCTTTAAATTTTACTCTTACTGTTATATATAACTTCAAACTGAAATGGAAATCTTGTGTTTAAATACGTCATTAGGGCACATGACTCGATAGCTCTTCACGAGTTTTTTTCATGTTTCCTTCAGCAAAATAAATCTAATGTATCTGTTGTAGTTAAAAAACTAAATTTTGAAAGTGCTAATTTTTGTATTTTAAATTTGCATGTTTGGTATATTGTAATTAACATTTGTTCTTGCTGATAAAAGATTTTGAGTTTGAGTTTGAGTTTGTAATTGTGATACTACGACAAAGCGTCAATTGAAGTGTTGAGATATTCGCTTTGTTTTTTTACGCGAGTAATGGCATCGCAGCTCCCCTTTGTGATTTTCCTAAAGGAAGAATATTTCAAAGAGGCGTGTACATGCCTGTCGAATTTCTTGGAACATCAACAAAATTTTTAACATAATATATAAAATGAAATAAAAATAAAATTCATTTTTTAAGAACACAATTCCAATCTGCAAAAGATAGCTTTCAACCAGTGTAACGAATTTCGTAAAATATTTTCTAAATACATTGCCTTATTTTGTACAATACTTTTCTTGCTTCCATAGCCACTCTTGTTTACCGTATTCTATCATATTTTTGGCCCCATTAGAGAGTGGGGCTTATTGAGAAAAAGATAAAAATCCACCAATAAAAAATTGAGCTTTGGAATTTAAACAATGATTGTTTTTAGAAAAATCAATCACACTTGTTATGGGCATAAAAATAACAATATTTCAATTTCATCCGAGTCGAAATCCTAGTAGATTTGCATAAATACTGGTGTGGCATCTTGAATATTTAAATTGTCAATACCTTCAAATGTATTTTTAAGTAATTCTGTCAGTAGTTGCAGAACATTTTCCAAATTGAAACAGCAATGGTTTTATTCAATATATTTAAACTGATTACTATTGTAAAGATTTGCTTGTCTCTATATGTTTTCAAAAATTTGGGGGGCGCTCATTGGAGAGTGGGTGCTGATTAGAGAAATTTTGCTCAAAAGGGGGGCGTGCATTAGAAAGGGATGCTCATTGGAAAAATACGCTACTTAACAAACCATGGACAAATCCGGAATTACATCCGTTTTAATTTTGGTTGTTTTATTTTTCTCAGTTTCTCCTTTTACCTTACGATTGTTATAGTTTTTTTCTTGTAAAACCAGGCTAACCAATTGCAAATTATCTTGTAATAGTGAGATTTGTAATTGTAGTTTATATTGAATTGAAAATGAAATGTTTCCATTGAAAATGAAATGTTTCCATTATTATTATTGTTGTTATTGTATTTTATGTTATTGGTATTTTTCCTATACGTAAAGTATGAAAAGCCTCTTAAGGTTACGGTAAACGTTTTCTGGATAAAAATATCAATTTTTCACACTCAAGTAGCCGAGCTTTCAAGGTACACAATGATATCAAATTTGAAACAAACAGAAATTTTGAAAATGGAAAAATCCCATGTAAACTAAGGTTTCCATAATTTCTTTATTAGAACCTTTTAGTTGAGGCCTGAAAACCTCTTGACCTTTGCGGTTGTGGTCGCATGTCTCTTTTACAATATCGCATGACACATCGATATATCCAATGTACGGCCGTGTTTATTAAACTGGCTTATTGATCTTAAAGCTTATTAAAGCTTCAGGTGTCTTGACCCGGATTACACTGTGGTTTACGAGTGTACCTTGCAAGCGAGATCAGTAAAGTCCCGTTTTCTCTGGACTTACAATTCGTCTACATACAGGTACGAAAAAGCTATTTTGTAACCAAGGAACCAATCGAATGGCTCAAAACTTTGCACACGGCCAGGACAGATGTCGGGTAAGCAAAAGGTGTCTCAAAATTTTTGTATTTGCTCTGGTCCGTCTTTTATAGCCAAATACAGCTATGAGAGGGAAGCAAAATTGTTTGCCAATTTTTGACAGGGTTTAGTTTCAAGAGGAGGAGGAATTTGAAAAATCTGAGATAAACTTTGGTAGCTTAGGATCTGCGCTTTCTGCTGATATAAGTCAGATTTTGATACCTCAAACGCAAGGGTACAAAATAGCTTTTGAAGGTGAAACACTCATTTGAGCAATAAATTTGCCTGGAAAGTATCATTTTTCAATATTTGCCAATTATTTTGATATGGTTGAAATCGCCACATTCTTGTGCATTTAATGATGTATAGTTTAATCTGATTCCGTTAATAGTTTTGCTTTTAGGGAGAGAAAACCAAAGATCGTGTCAAAAACGTTTACCCTAACCTTAAGCACCTAGAAAGATAGGAAAGATTAAAAGAACAACCCAGGTGTAATATGGTTGGTATCTTAACAGGTCTACAGATCAATAGTCACTTGAGTCAATGCTTGAGATCAATAGTCTTATATATCTTCAAGTATTTGTAATACAAACGTGCATTTTTTCCTCTCTATGTTATGGCCCCGGGGTAGACAGAGTTAATGCTCCCCGGGGTATCGTTTTGTAGTGTATGTAACTTTTTAGAATGTATAAAAAGTCTATGCTGTTATCAAGTATATTGTAATAGGGTTATTTTGCCAAATGAATGTATCCACCCAGGGACGAAAACAAGTTGCTTATTTTGGGGGGGGGGGCGTGGAAGTATGAAAATTCCAACTTTAAGTGATAAATTTTTCATTCGACCAGTAGATCTGTTGTACCTACCAAATTGATATTTGTAAATAGCCCGAACACCATAGTTCTATTTTCTTTATAATTACCAAATCTTTAGTCAATAATTAGCCTAAAGCATAAAAGCCTAAATCTCTAAATTTTGATTAACATGAAACAAACATTAAACATACTGTAAGAAGTAAAGCAACATTTAAGCAAAACCAGTATTAGATATACTTAATGATTAGTAGTATTCTTTCAGATCAATTGATCAATTTTATCTAAAATACATTTTTTCACGATATAGAAGCACCAAGAATTTGGGCCTTTTATTTTCGTTCTTGATCGAAGAAAACTACCTTTAAACTTTTCAGAGGGCCAAATGCCTTTTCATTCTTTACAATTGAAATGATGATTTGAGAACAAACTTATGCATATGCCTGATTCGAAAGATGAAATACTCTTCTTTGATCAAATACTTCTACTGCAGTTTTTGCAATGTGTTCTTGCTCCACAGCAGTTTTGTCATAGGAATTTATGATAAGGACTCAAGGACATTAACAAATAACAGGGGAGTTTAGCATAAACTCGTTTTTTATAAGAAGCGTTGAGAATTTTTAGTACTGAAAGATTCTTAATCTTTTATTGAATTAACTACTCGTAGTTTCTAAAAAAATTCCCACTCTAATATTTTCTGATCAATGCCGGTATTATTATTCCAAACTGTAAGTTTCAAGTTTCTTATCCGTAAGTTCACCTTGCCTGTTCGTAATTTGATTCAACTCCCGTCAGAAAGAAAGAAAAAGAAAACGGGGCAAGTGTGCAATTTGGACCCAGTGGAGACGGGATTCACAATAGAAAACGATTGGATGGATCAGCTTCAGCCTGTGAATTTTAATGTTTAGAATTTTTATAAATTAAAATAAAAAAACTTCTTAAAATATAAAATTCACAAGTTTGGTCTTAAGAAAAAAATTCCAAGTCAACCGTTACGTTTTCCAACTGTAACTGGATTTTCCAAACTTTGGGGGGGCGTTACGCCCCCCACGCCCCCCTATTATTTACGTGCCTGTATCCACCCTATCATTATCTTCGAGACTAAATGGTTCTTCCATCAATGAGAAAAGAAATAAATAGACACAATGATAATGTTGAAACGTCTTTCTTCAGATCAAACGATCTTTCCGCGATAAAAGGTTCTATAAATATAATGTTTCTCTACGGTTGTCCCGTAACGTCATGATAAAATGGATTGGGTATACCCTAAGTGCCAAAATCCGCTGAGTCATGATTTTCATGACTGCGATGCTATTGGTTGACCTTGAACTGGTCACATGAACTCACCTCGTACTGATTAACAAAACAGTTTCCATCAATAGCAAGTTATCAACAACGGATGCCAATATCACATGAAACAGCAGCGATCACGCCGAAACCAAATGACCCCCTATAGAGAAGACCTATTTACCATGACTCAATGCCTTTAATGTCAGGCACAGTCTTTCTCAAGCACTGTCCTCTCAAATATGTCAGATAATCCACAATAATCGTCACGCGCGATGTCTTAAATAGCTATACGTATCCTATAAATCCATAATTTATGCCGACAAGATCTTTTACAAGCATCTTGCCACATATGTGAAACGTCGAGAACCTAAATATACAAAATATCAAAACCTAACCCTATCGCTCTTAACCGAATTCCATTTCCAACTTCAACTCCAACTCCAACTTACTCTAAAACTAACTCTAATTCTAAATGTAACACCCCCAAAATATAACTAAACAAGAACTTATTGTGATGCTACATAGCTACGTAAATTTACATAATAATAGTGAATACAAAATATATTACTCCCAAGATTAATTACATAAACTGAATAATGATACTAAAAATCCCAAAAGAAATAGTTAATGAATCTAAAGGTGCAATTAGATAACAAAAGGAATTATAAACAATCGAATGTGTGAATGGTGATAAAATTACTAAGGTTACAGGATGCAAAACAAACGAAATCCAAACTAGCACTATTACAATATAATTCTCACACAACATTTAAAGAGGTATTCAGTTATTTTGTATTTTCATATTTCATACTGGGAACCAAAGTTATTTCTTATTTCAAGACTCAAAAACCTAAATATTTATATTTTCATTCCGAAGATCTCAATTTTTTCATATTTCAAACACCCCTCTCGCGACTGAGCGAATGCACACTGGGGCATGCGCAAATTGAACTTCCTCATTTGCTGCAAATGCGCGACCATTCGCTGAGTAGCTCAACTCAGTCACAGAATAGAATAGGAATAATCAACTCCTACTTCCTATTCTGTGACTCAGTTGAACTACTGGGCGACTGGTCGCGTTCGCCGATTCGCTGACTTGTTGATTCGATTTCGCCAAGTCGCGCGACCAGAGCCACTAGGCGAATTCTTTCATGCGAATCGTAGCGATAGAGTAGGACCATGATCTACTTTCTGCGAATCGAATTTTTTCGCTGCAAAATCTGAGAACATGACACCACGCTGGCTCGATTCGACCGAAAGAATTCGCCTAGTGGAAATCGGGTTGTCTAGCAACACTGCACCTTTTTGTTAGCCTAACCAATTAAAACACTCCGCATGCTAAACCCATAAAAACACCACGGGAGCACTGACAGATAACAGATACAGGCCTGTATGCCGCGATTTGACAGGGATGCTGTGTGCACGGTGAACGGGGAAATCCTTGACAAATACAAATAGGAATATCTGCATTATAAGATTAATCTGGGAGCCTATCATCGCAGGATTTGCTAATCTCGAATGGATTCTTCCGCAAGAAGGTCGATTATGGTATGTTAACTGTTCATATTTCATCTTGGTACTTACCTATCTGACAGTGAATTGAATTGATTAAGATTTACCTGTTTTTCGAAACCGCAAGATTTTTTAACTGACTCCCGTATATCGTTTTATGAGAATCTGTGTTAGTTATTTCCCCTTTTTACTATGAGACCCTAACCGGGTTCATTGTCGTATAAATGCAAGGCCTTGCTGAGAGAAAAGAAAGCTTCCTCGTAGGACTCCAGGACGAACCACCCAGACTGCACCTGATGGGTTATTTGGGTCACGTAATAAAAATTTGAACCACCTGCCCATCATCTGTAAGAAATTACAGCTGCATTGCTGGCAAAAATACCTATCCTACTTACCATACAATACAAGCGTACCCGTTTACACCCGTTTACACGATCAGTCAAGACTGATGACCTAGTATTATTTTCCTTCATTTTCACTATAAACGGTGACAAGGAAGGTGCCGCTGTGGAATTAGTTATAGCTGTAGTTTCAAAACTAAACGAAAAAGATTCAAAACAGAAAAAAAAACTTCGTGGGTTAAACCATGGCTCAGCAGTTAGGTGCCTTAAACTTCTTCAAACATCTGTTTTTTGATTCGCGATCTTTGTTGATTTTTTCTCTCAAACGCTAATAAAAAAATCTGTTTACTCGATGCGCTTTGCTTTGCCAGCCATTTCTTTTCGAAAAATCGATTTCTCCGCATGAAGTTGCACATGACGCAACAATTGATAAGAGCACAAAGAAGGGTACAAAGAAGGGATTAACGTAGCAAATATGAAACACCGCAATACGCCGAGGATAAACAACAATAAATACACAAATCAGTAAAGGCTAATATTTCGCCCCGGCATACGGGGCTTCATCAACTTTTGCTCTGATTAAGCCTCGTATACCGGGGCGAAATATTAGCCTTTTTACTGATTTACGTGTATTTATTGTTGTTTATTCTCGACGTATTGCGGTGTTTCATATTTGCTACATTTTTATCTACTTTTCCCAGCAAGAACTCCTTGGGACCCGTCGATCAGCCTGCTACAGTGACCTTTTCTTCATTCACGCAAAGGGATTAACGCCCGCTGCGTTTTCAAAGGATGATTGACATTCCGTTTTGACTGTTAAGTTGAACAGGTCCAACTTTAGAAAGGACTGGCAGTTTAAACTGATTGTCGAAAAAAACGTCAGTTTTTAGCCGTTTCAACGATCAGTTTTTCTGCAACCAGTGAAAATTGACAGTTTAAACTGATCGTGTATTTCAGCCTTAAAAGTTGCTCGAAGTTGCACTAAGCAGCAAGAATAATCCTTTTTAATATTTTTTAATTTTCAAATTTGATAGAAAAATTTCATTGGAATGCCCAAATGCATTTTTGTTATTTGGAGCTGCTTAGGAAGTGTTTAATTTTGGTTATCCCATTATTTCAGCACAATATAACAGTCTCAAAATTATTGTTTAAATTCAAAATGTTTTTCAGCAATTAAAAATATATCTAGAAATAAGCTGGGGTAAATCCTGACCCATAGGCATTTTTTTCAGAGGGGGCTCAAAAAATTAATGACAATTCCTAATGGTAGCTGCTGATGTCACAGGATAGAAAGTGGATTAGCTAAGGGCTTAAAGGTGATTTTTCCGTGCATTTTTCATTATCGAGGAAGAAGAAGCACACAAATGAAATGATTGAAAGTTTATTTTTAACTCATTATCAATTTCTTTAGGTTGAGATCATCCTTGAAAATCCCTTCACCAAACATCCTTTATATAAGCATTTTTCAGGACCTTGTTCATGCTTCCGAAGTGAAACGTTGATTTACACAATCAAACAAATATTTGAAATCAATTCCTGGCTGCTAAAAGTTAAGGGTTTTCATCTTTCAGAAAGACACTGGGACCATTTCTAAGTTTGAGGGACACAAATAGAAAGTGGCAACAGTTCATTGAAAAAGGGACACTTGTATAAGGAGACTACTACTTAAAAAATGTCATTTTTCTAAAAGTTAAGGGGCACATACCCCTAGTGTTGTCCCAGTTCTAACCTCTCTTCCTTATACTATTAAGCCCTTCTCTTTGAAGTTAAGGTTTTGACACCTGAACATTTACAAGAACATATTGGTCACAATTTGAATATATTGAGCTGTTTAGTAGGATTTGAATCTGGGCTGTCACTATATAAACCAAAACAACTTTGAAAACAGCAAATTATCTTTTGTCTTGCTTGCTATATCTTTTTTGGAAACTTCGAAGTATAGTCGAATTTTAAATGCCTCATTTCTCATTTATGATACTTGAACTCTATTTTAAAATTTGATTTTGATTTTCCATTCCTATTTTTAGGAGTCAGATAAGGAATATTGCAAGTCTTCAAGACCTCCAGACAGTGAGAGCAGTCAAGCTCTAGGCTTGCAGTATCGCATTGACGAATCTCCTTCATGGCCACTGTGCATCTTTCTTGGCCTGCAGGTATAATGAATATGACAAGAACATTTTTCAAAGGCATTTCATATCATTAATTGTTTCGAATGATTTATCACACTATTGCTATTTTACTTTATCACGATTCATGCCATAACAATTTTTAAATCCTGCAAATGTCAAATATCCATTATTTGTTCCCTTTATCCATTATTCATTGTTTGCTGTCGTTAAGGCTGATTCTCTTTGTTCATACAAATATTTGTTTGGAATAAGACCTTTCTGTGTTTGGAGAAGTAGCTAGGAAGATCTTTCTCCCAACTTAATTGAGGTCATTGATGTTATGTCCCTTTCTTTAGAATGTAAAACATAATTTTAGTGTAGAAATTGAAGATATGAATTCAAAAAGAAACATGAAATAGTTTTTTATAGATTTTCCAAGTCATTTTACTGAATGCCCTGGTTTGCATTTATTGTTTCCCTCATACTGATAACTGATACCTTAATAATTTCAAATCCTTTAAAGAAGAATAAACAATTTGTGCCTATATTTGACAAATACTTTCAGAAAAGTACATAAGCAAACAAGCTCAACAGGGAAATAAATGAAAGCACTACAAGCTCAGTCAGATTTTGTGGCTTTAAGATGGTGAAGTGTAGAAAAAGTAATTGGAAAGGGCTAGCTTGACAAGGGCAGTACCCACAAAAAGATGACTTGAACCCATGGCCAAGCAGGAGCCGACCCATAAACTTGCAAACAGTTACAAAATGCTACAACAAAACACTAAAAAGGAAAAAAAGCTTCATTTAATTTGTTTTTTGCTACTTAGCACCTGAAGGTAGTTTTAGGACACTAAGATACTGTGCTTATTGAGCAGTGTCCTGGTCCTTCCTCTCGATGTTACTATACCTCCTGAATCCTATGACTAGAATAATAGAGAGATGGTGACTCTCCTTTCTCTAAATGGGAATTTGGTCATGTCAGAGGGCCAAAACCACAGACCATTGGGTCAATAGTCAGCGATTCCAAACACAAAGCCATCCTTTCACCTGAATAGAAGGTGTGTCCCATCCATGAATTTAAAAATCAAGAGTTTCACTTGTTCCAAATATAGGATTAAACATAGAACGATTTGGTCCGAAAATTTCTTTGCCCGAAAATCTAAAAGGTTTGAAAACATTTTTTCTCCTCTTTGGAATATAAATGAAAGCATGCAATGACTAACAATTTTGGGAATCAATTTATTTTTGGGGAGCCTGGTCTCAAAAAGCGATGCATTCTTTTTTAATTTTTCATATTTTTCTTTTGGCAATTTTGAGCATCTTTAATTTGCAGTCATGTCAAATATAGATATGGGCACCAGTTGCTGTAGCTATGGCGGAAGTAGGGATGTTGCAACACCCTTCGATAAAAATCCACTCTGGAAACGAGTAGTTTTTTGCCCTTTAGGGGTGCTTCGATGGAAAGTTGTCACCAGCAAATATAAGGTGGCTCAGCCTGGACATCTTAAGGACTAAAACTAACAGTGGTCCTGTTGGCAACCTTTCCTTTTGTCCCTGGAAACGGGGGTGGATGTGATGAGTTGGCATTGCCTTGAAAAGATCCCTTTAAATTTTGTCGTGGAGACAAAGAACGGAAACGTAAACACAAAAATTTGTAATCCTCAGCATTAAGTGTGCTGCTTTCTTCAGTTAAATTTCTGCTGAAGGGGTGCAGTGCAGCAAATCAGTAGTGGAGACCTCGGGGCGAGAGGGCGGCCGCCCCCCAATATTTTTTAAGGTAATGGTCTTTTTTTCTAAAACAATGGGATAATGTGATGTTATCTTATCAAGACAATAGGCTTGCCCCCAGTATTTGACCGAGTGTCCGCTCTGCAGCAATACTGAAAAACTAAGATAATTGTTGCTATAGTTTCCTAATGTGTTTATTTCCATTTCATTAGAAACACCCTTTAATTTTTCACTGTAAGATTTTGCCGTAGTTAGCCTTAATTGAAATTCGTGTTTATTTGATTCAGCATTACCTCACGATGTTTGGAGCCACGATTGCAGTTCCATTTCTGCTTGCCCCCTCACTGTGCATCGCAGATAATCCTCTGATACTTGGTGAAGTTATCAGTACCATATTTTTTGTGTCTGGTATTGCTACATTGTTACAAACTTTTTTGGGCAATAGGTTAGTTATATTTGATTATGTATTTTGCTTGACGACTAAGGTAATCAATAGTGGAATAAATTTCAGCAACGAGCTCACTTTGTGTCAATTAAGTCGTCACTGTCGACATCTTCTTCAAGGTGTTGCTTCTACGTTCAGCATCCATGACTGTGGACACGGCCTTCAGTCTTCTTGCTCCAGCACTGCATGACTGATCAGCTTCGAAACAATGTATGTTATGGTCTCGTGAACCATCATGTAGAAAACAGAGCCCAAAACATCCACTCGAAAAGAAGCAACATCGTTTCCCTATAAATTTCCTTCTTTGCAGTTTATCAACAATTTAATATTGTCAACTTTCGAAACACAGAAAAGCCTCAAATGTGCCATTTCTGAGTCAAAAAAGGCAACAAATTCATAATTTGTAAAAAGATCATATTTATCGCAAATTGCCTGCTATTATAGTTCTATTCTGTTACAGTTTCTTTTTCTTCAGAAATGAAGATGTCTTTTGTTTTGTATAAGCGGGCTGCTTATGACGCTGAATGTACTTAGAGGCGAAGCAGCATCTTTTTATGACAGTATGTTTGTAACGTTATCCTTTGTCACGAAAAAACATTTTTATAATACATGTGATCAATTCCCGTATAATGAAACTTGGTTGTAGAAACTGAACTGGGACATGCATACAGTTCTTTACTTTTCTGTTTTTGTTATCTTAGGAATTGTCTAACTTCATTCTTTGTACCTATAGACTACCAATTGTGCAGGGAGCAACATTTTCCTTTCTGGGCCCAACATTCGTTATTCTGTCGCTACCAGGGTTCAAATGTCCGGTTGATTCACAGAAAGGTGAGTTTCGTTTTCTACTTTCTCCAAAGGCCTCATTCCTTAAGGGCCAACTTTGCAAACGGCTCGATGTTTTGAGTTCATCCTGTATTTCATTCTAGGGAACAACACTACAGGCTCAACCCATGATTGGAGAATCGGAATGCGCGAGGTTTGAATTTAAACTTGAAATTTTTTCAGGAAACTAAACACGATGAGAGTTCCAGAAAATTCAAATCTTTTTATACTCATAGTGTCATTTTAGCTATAAGATAATTTGACTTATTTGAATGGCTTTTTTAATCTTAAGTACTAAATCCCAGGGGCGGATACAGAATAAAAGTTGACGGTCGCACATTAATACTAACCAGCAGGCGGTCTAGGGGGCCTCCCACGTGGTCAAGGGCGGAGCCATTATGGGGGCCCAGCCCCCCGGAACCAGAGCAACTAGGTCTAATTTTGAAGAAAAAACCCTAAAGTTCACAATCCTAATCATTTCAACCATTATAAATAAAAAGAATAATTTCTTCTTTTTTCAAGAAATGCATCATAATTTTTGGTCTACAATATTTTCTAACTGCGATTTGTTCCGCTAAGCAAGACTGATACACTATGATCGATGAAACGCCTTAATGGATGCCCTTCTCTTTAGGAGCGGAAGTTGGCTCACCAACGAGGTTTGCAGGCCTTGCAGTATAGTTTTGAGAGTGGCGACGGGACTGGGGCCCTGAAACGTTCAAATCTTTCAGTCAAACATTCTTCCCTTGAAAAGGTTTTCCAAATTTTCCAGCAAATCCAACACGCAGTTGAAACAAAATATCTTGAGATTCAGAAGTGTACACTACCTATGCAGCTCTTCCGTATAGATAAAGAAAATTGGGATTCTTCTCTTTTACAACTTCCAACCGCACCAACTTTCTTCCCTTGCCAGCAGTTGTGCGGCACAATAATCTAACATAGTGTTTACAGACTTTTTGTGCCACACAAATATGTGAAAACTTGAATTTTGATTGGCGAGATTTGGTAAAATATTTGCATAACAAAGAGCCCTGCATATTTGTGCGGCACGGGCGATATGCTTAAAAATCATACTGTTTACGGTCTAGGATGGTATTGGAATTTTTTCCATATTGAATTGTGTGTGAAATCGTCCAAGTTCGGTCCTGTGTTTATTGTGTAAAGAGAGGGAAATGTATTATCTGTAGGGAGGAAAATAAAATATTGTGGTAAACACGATTGCCTTATTTCAATGACTGAAGACTAAAACTAAATACTGAAAATCTGACGGTCTTCCGTGCGACCTTTGCGACACCCTGAATCCGCCCCTGCTAAATCCGAATGTCTTGTAAAGAGGAAACCAGCTCATGGCCCATATCTATGTTGCCTGTTTTAGAGCCTTAAGCACGGGCAATTTGGGCCTGTACTGAGATTTCAGCACGGGCTGAGAGTTCCATGCAAACAGAGAAAATTGAACCACGGAACGCATGTGAATGAAAGTGATGAATCGTAGGACATCTTTTATTTTATTCTAGAAAATAAATTATGACCATAAGTGTGATCCGACCATGACCCGTGTTGAGATTTGCCTTGAAAATGAGCGATGGATTAAAGTCTCAGACCTTGTTGAACTCAGCCCTGGCTGAAATGCCCAACGTAAACGGCATCTTCAGGTCGAGTGAGTGGAATGGTAAATTGCTTAGCTGCATATCCAATTCAAGGAAAATAAATTTCATTCTGTAATTGGCGGTTTAACAGATTAGAGATTTAAAGTTCCTAAATACAGCGTTATTTTGTTTTTATCTCAGGTCCAAGGAGCTATAATGGTATCATCACTGTTCCAGATAATCTTGGGTTTCTCAGGATTGGTTGGCTTGATCACAAAGTTCATAGGCCCGCTTACAGTTACACCAACCATATCGCTTATTGGCCTATCGCTGTTCCCTGCGGCTGGCTTCTATTCTGGTAAATTTTGTTGCCTTATACTGAGATTTTTAAATTTAAATTTTTAAATTTTGTTCTTGTTCCTGTCAATTAAACTTTACACAGTTTCTTTCATGGCTTTTCCCCTTTGGCACATCCGTTCATTAATATTCCACATAACAGCTAAGTCATGTTGGTTTTTACTTGTTGAAAAATAACCTTTGGTATGGTTTAAAGTTAATTAGATATCTTGTTGTTAAACTTCGGAATATATAATCTGTTGAACTCCAAAGTGCCCCATCTAAAACAGCCCCTTCAAAGTGGAACTGAATATCTACTTGTTTTGCAAGATCAACCAGGAAGCTATTTTGATCTGCAAATTTTCTGCTTTGGGTCTTTCTTGCTGCTTTGAGCGGAAACTGATCATGTTTGGGGGAGGGGGATTTCCTCCCGTCTTTTACTGCTGCCGGGAAAGTTGACCAACGTTTGTTTTAAGTTTTTCCTTTTCTATTGGGGGGACATGGGGATATTCCTTGCTTTTCCTTATTCCAGTTATGGATCGAATAGCTGGATCGAGACCTTTGTCTTTTATGTTAAGCAAATTGCAGATACTTCTAAAAAATTTCAATTCGTTAAATAGGAGAGAGGCCCGCTCCTCGATTAGTAAATCCGCTGAGAGAGTTCTTCCTTCAAGTCATTTCCATCATACATTTGATTAGTCTTTGTGTTTCTATCTATATATCATGTGTTAATTTCTGTTTCATTGTATTAAATTTTATTGTAATGATACTCTTGTAGCTTAGTTATTCTTTATGTTTAGTTGGAATTTAAAATGTAAGCATGATATGTAATTTATAACAAAGCATGAGCTGAACTGAACTGAAGTACATTGTTTGAGGCATATTTACGTTGCCTTCTTTAAGCTGTTCCGCTTTGATATCCCAGACAATTGCTTTCATGCTTATGTTTTTGTAAATCATTGCTTACTCGTCTTACGATTGACTTTATAATGTGATGCATTAATGTTTCTTCGTACCATTTGCATAACATTTATTCGTAACTAACTTACTACATTATGTGACGTAGTTTTTCTCTTTGCAGGTAAGCAGTGGGGAATAGCATGTCTGTACGTATCATAGACTTTCCTTTCTATATTCTTGATCAATTTCTGTGACTAAGCTTTTGAAATTGATTAAGATTTTGCTTGAGTGAAGGCGTTTTATCTATCTTTTTTAGTTTTTTTTTCAGTTATCGTCAGCTATCTGTTATCTAGAACATCTACCTGTTATCTAGAACATCTACCAAAAAGAGTGCAACTTATATTTGGTCAATTACTAGAGAATGGATTGGGGAAAAGTTGTATTTGCCAGTCCTCGACGTCCTGACATCTCTGCAAGTTGTAAATGGGACCATTTTATAAATAGTCTTGCTCCAAGTTTAATTCGTGCTTGAGAGAGGATTCGAAATGTTTCGCCTTTCCCCGATTCGTCCGTCTCCTTCGTAGAGGTCCACAGGAAGGAAAAAAATACTCCCCTCTCAAGCGCGAAATAGACTCTAAGCAGGTTTATTTTAAAAACAAACACCCTGCGGCCTCTGTATACAGTTGAGGCTCTGTTGTCCGAACACTTGGTTATCTGAATCGCAGGTTTTATTTTCGGAAAATCTGCCTCGCTCCTTTTAACCTCGCTTAAGAAGCTCTCAGATTTTACTCAGATATATCAGAACTTTAGTATTCTCTGACCCCTTTGCCCAAAAAAGAATTCACCCTTTTTATTTCTGACAGGCAAGTGAATTACAATCTGCACCTTTTTTATGGGCTGTTCATAATAATTGATAAAATCTCTTCTTCCATTGAATTTTAGTTTAAAGGGAACTTTTCTAAAGAGAGGAATACAGGGAATTATATTACCGCTTTATCAGAAGCAATATAGCGCTAAAGAATTTCAAAACTAGCTACCCTGTTGAAGCCTTTTGCCAAGAAGCATTGCTTGAAGATTGTTTAAAAGAGCTTGAAACTGCTATAAAATGATGTTTCTTTATGTTTTCTACCGTTTTTCTGCTTAGCCCCGAATTTTACTTATTTGAAAACCCCTTCTTCGAAAAAATTGTCTCGGTCTCTTGAGAGTTGAGCTTACGGAGGCTCAACTGTACATAAAGGCAGGGACTGCGAAAGTGGGGGCTGAGGAAGGATTAGCCTCCTCAATAATTCCAAAAATATGCTTTAAACAACACAATAAATCGTCTTGCTTTTGGCTTGGGGTATGTTCAGCTCCCTTAAAACTCGTTAGCCTCCCTCTCATAATCTGAATCATGTTCTGCGCTCCCTGTATGTGAGTATCTCAGTTATATTTTGCCCAGGGCGTTAAGATGCACAACCTAATGATTGCATAATTTTTCTAGGACTGTGTTTTTAATACTACTGTTCTCTCAAGTTCTGACCAACAAGAAGGTTCCATTGCCATGGATTTCATCTGAACGAAAACTGACTGTAGTCTGGGTTCCAATTTTCAAGCTTTTCCCTGTATGTATGCTTTCTGAATCCATCCTATATTCTTTTTTTTGCAATCGTGCAAATATCACTCTCATATAGACAATATTTTATCTAACACCTTAAGTCTTGCGTCGAAAATTTAAAGCCCACAACAAGAGCTACAGAGGAGAATTGCTTTCAATCCTGAAATCTTGAAATCCTTCTTGCAAGGCTCTGCTCCTTGCTGTTCTTTTACTGCCAAAAGTTTTGCTTTTTCCAATAAAAACTGTGTTTTTTCTAGTTCCTTGCTTGATTTTTATAATTCTAGCTTGTTCTGTTTGGAATGTGCCTATCGATCAACATGTTTTTTCTAATGCAATGTTGTGTTAAAACAGATCTTGTTGGCTATTGTTCTGGCCTGGGTTGTTAGTGCCATTGTGACCGCAGCGGGCGGGTTTTCTTCAAACCCAAAGGCAGCCTCGTATTCAGCAAGAACTGATTCTCGTATTGGTGTCTTGAAGAACGCTGACTGGTTTCGGATACCTTATCCAGGTTAGCTATTTATCACCAGTTTTTTTTCTAAAGTCATCTGCTCCACCTTTTTAAATCATCTTGGACGGAAAGATCTATAGGAAGGGCACAGAGACACCAATTTGTGACCAAAGCCATATCAACAGGATGATTTTCTAAAAAAATCTTTCTTCGAAAATCCTTTATTTTTACTAGTGCACGTTTCGTCAAGTTGGGACAATTTTTCGCTTGACAAACATACTTCAACTACCGACATAATAGGATTTGTAAATGTATGCTTTTTCAAAAAATGTGTCAGTTGAAAAGTTTTCTAGGTGCCCTTGACAATCAAGCTCGTGAAGGTCTCAACTATCATGGCTGATGCTCAAAAAAATTATGGCGGGGAACTCCACATCGACATTTGATCTGTGTCTTCAGTTTCCCTATCAAGCTGCACGCTGAACATTTGGTCTGCCCGTCGCGAGGGCTTTTAAGGAAAATTTTCCTAACTGAGCCTTTTGAATTAAAAAAGAAGGTGTATTTTAAAGAATAAAAACACGGCAAATTGAGACTGATTCACAGATTCCTCTGGGTCTACACACAAACGAACAATTGCTCGCTAAATGTTGACAAGAATTTTTCATTAGTATCAAAACCATATGAAGTAAAAGTAGATGAGGCTTAGTGTAGTTTCTCATGCAGTATAACATCGTGACAGAATATGGTGAATATGTTTTCACTAGATATACGCCATAATGTCCTAGTCACATTTTAGAAAGGACCGAAAAAGCATTAAAGAAACATTCGTTGTCTATATCGTAGAAAAAAGTGACTTTGGGCCAGTATTTGGGCCTATGAAACATCTCTAGTTTGTGAGAATCTGATTTACGAAAAGTAAGCAAAACACAATTGTAAGCATAATTGAGAAAAACCTGATGGAGAGATGGGTTGTAGGCAGGTCATCAGAAAACCACAGTTTTGGTGATCAGAATTTCCTTAGAGAAGCAAGAAGCCTGAAAAGCAGAAAGTGGTTACCTCACCTGCTTCCCTAGAAACGCCACTATAGGATTTTTCAAACATTAAAAAAGGATGAATGAAGTAGAATTCTACTATTCGGAAGAGCTAGGGAATATTGCTCGTGCTGAACCTCTTTGCATTTTAGGCCAATGGGGTACTCCTACACTCAGCTTGGCTGGCGTGTTTGGGATGCTTGCTGGAGTGCTTGCGTCGATGATAGAATCGATTGGAGACTACTACGCATGTGCAAGACTCAGTGGAGCTCCTCCGCCTCCAGGACACGCGATCAACAGAGGAATTGGTATGGAGGGAATAGGCTGCCTACTTGCTGGTGCATTTGGATCTGGCAATGGCACGACGTCTTATGGGGAGAATATAGCCGCAATTGGAATAACAAAGGTTTGTGTGTGAAATGCGTAGTTCTGTGTGTGAAACGTAAAAATTTTTCGCGTTATTGTCTATTATTAGCGGTGTTATTTGTTGCCACTTGCCTGTCTTAATTTGTTGGCTTTTCATGTTGCGGCGATTCCTTTCACAGCCAATCAAGATTCTACTTCTATGTTCCGAACGACCAAGTGACCACCAATCGACTGAATGACCCAAAGCACACCCTATTTTCTGCCTCACTTGTATTTTTGACCAGTGTATCCGCCCGTAACCGGTCGTAGCAGCTTTTATGCTTCTATATTCATTTCATTGAGCACGTGTTGAAAGAAGATAGAAATTGGTATATATTGGATTGCTAAGTCAAATTAGTAAAAGCGTATTATTCCTAGTTGATGGAATTTGGCAGTGAGAAAGACTGAGAAAATATTTCTAGAATTCTGTATATAAGTTTTGTTGACAACTCGATTCAAATAAAATCATACTTTTTATTTGTTTTATGTTTTAAAACACTAAACTCCATTTTAGGTTGGAAGCCGTCGCGTTATCCAGTTTGGAGCTATCTTTATGTTGATCTTAGGCGCCCTTGGCAAATTTGGTGCATTATTCGCAACCATACCCGAGCCAATTGTCGGAGGAATGTTTTGGACATTGTTTGGGATGATCTTAGCTGTTGGATTGTCCAACCTGCAGTATGTGAATATGAATTCGTCGCGGAATTTGTTTGTTCTTGGTTTCTCGTTTTTTACGGGAATGGTAATTCCCGACTGGCTAGAGAAAAACCCAGGGGCGATTAACACTGGTAAGACGTCAATTTATTAAGATAAATAATATTGTTAAAGGGGGTGCAGATCCCAAAATTTGCCGACCAGATTGGCGTTCCTAAGGTGTGGCTGCTGGCATTAATACAGCGTGGCAAAACTGTTTCTGATGAGATCTTGAGCCATTTGGGAATATATATAAAAAAATTTTAAAGCAGGCATAGAGTGCATTATTTGGGCGGATTTGTTCATTGCATTTAATTGATCTTCAAAGTTTTATACTGTGGTGTAATAGATAATAATCTGTCAATCTTGAAATTGCCTACACGCCGAAAGTCTGGGGGCTCGGCACCCCCCCCCCCCACCGTACCCTTCTTTGGCTACGGATATCTCAGACACTCCTTTTTTAAAAAATGTTTCCTTTTGGTTTTTTATGAAAATTACATTGAATTTTTCCGTCATTGAAAGATACTTTGTGTCAGTTTATTCAAATGGTCATTACTCCCATATTCTTAGCGTATGTAGGGTGTAGCTGCGCGAAATTTTTCTGGTGACCTCCGCTCACAGAGCCTTTCGCTTTCCGCGACTGTATACCCCACTAAATGGTATCCCTATATGATATAACGGTATCTTACCATGCAATCTTTTCGAAGAAAGACGAAGCAAAGTCACTTTGATATTATTTGGCATTTTGCCAACATTCTATTATTTGCAAGCTATAGCCTTTTTGAAGTCACTTTTTATTTTACTGATAATGTCACTTTTTCAAGGCAACGGAATAAAACAATAATGGAATGATTACTTCTTTGTTTGATTAGCCTTTTAACGAGATTTATGGATTCACCTTGATTGTTTGTCAATTTAAATCTTTACTTGAAAGATACACAAATACGTAAGCTGCAGAGGTATATTATTTTGGTTTATCTATTTCCTTTATTAAATCGTAGTTATGAATAAAAAATATTTTTTATAATCTCAACATGATATATGCCATAATTTCAAACAGATATGAAACACTTTACATAACATTATCAGCCTAACTCTCCCAGGGAAAATTTTTCTATCGGTGAAACAAGCTCTTAAAAGAGTTTTTTCTGTATCCCAGCTTCCAGGTTCAACTGTACACACGGCCCTGTATAAAACACTGAATTCATTTTTCAATAGGTGTGGAAGAGCTTGATCAAATCATTGAGGTACTGTTGAAAACAGAAATGGCCGTGGCGTGTATAATTGCAATGATTTTGGACAACACACTACCTGGTACAGATGAGGACCGTGGCATAATCAGCTGGCGGAAAGAAACAGTGTCAGAGGGCTCCATGCAGACATCTTCCATTCATGTCTATGATCCTATCTGCACAAAGTTATGGGTTGGGAGAAAATGGCTGAAATATGTGCCATTTTTGCCATACTATGGTAATTATGAAGATAACGCACCAACTAATATAGAGATGAAGCCTTGCCCCTCTCCTGAAAGTGCAGACATCGCTATACTGTAGATGTATTTTTTCCACTGTTTGACTGTCGATTTTTCCACTCGTTTAGAATATTTTGGGGGGGGGGGGCCAACGTCAGCACTATCTGTTGGAACTGAGATTTAATGTAAATTTTTTATACTACTCCGACACCTTGGCACTGTTTCTTTACTACTCCCCCTTTCCTTCCGGTGGATGAGTCAAAAAACGCAAGCTTAAAATTCGTACCTGTCAGAATTTATGATAACTGGATACAATTGTTGGGTCAAGGCTTTTTACTGATAACGTTAAAATGCACACACAACACGGCATATAGTTTTAATGGCTGTTTGGATCATTCCTATCATAAACAAATCCATAGGAACATTGACAAAGGCGCTGACTTTTAATTTTCCCGAAGGTAATTCAGAATAGTGAAAATAGACTCTGCCAAATTGGCACATACCGTAAATCCTCGAATAAGCTCCCGGGGGCTTATTTGCAAAAATGAATTTTTGGGTGGAGGATTAGTATTTTCCTCTAAGATCGACATAAAAACGACATAATTTTCTCAATGAAATAAATAGAAAAATTACAAAAAATCTGTTGTCCTGTGGGGGCTTTCTTGAAATAAGATCTTTGCAATGATGAAATAGAATCTTTCATTACTTTGCAATGATGCTTCCCTCAAATAAGCCCCCACGGGGGCTTATTCAAGGGGGGCTTATTTGCAAAAATGGTTTTTTAGGTGGGGTCTTATTCGGGGGGGGCTATTCGAGCGTGGGGGCTTATTGAAGGATTTACGGTATGTCTGCAAGTTGTAACCCACTCCTTGCAAAATACACTCAAACTTACCCTTTATATCGTATATCAGATCAGTATACCGGTTACTTTACCATAATTCGAATTTTGACTACATAAATTAAAAGATGCCATAGAGTACTACTAAATACTCATAATCAGTTAAATATGATAAAGATCGGGTGAAATATGGCCAATGAAATGTTTGAAATATGATAAAGGATTACTGTTATTTTGGTTCTGTTCATAAAGTTATGAACAGAGACCAAATTACGAAGGTTTAAAAGTAAACTGCCTGTGCTTATGTGGCCACATCTAAACCAATTCGTGTCACATTCAACTGATTTTGCACTTTTAGAGATACACTCAAATTTTTTTATAAGAAACAAAGGTCGATGTTGAGTACTCCAGTTTCTTAATGTTCTGAAAATTTCAATACTCACTGTTTCTTAATGGTTTAATGAATGATGTTATGAAATGTTCGTGACCTTTTTTTCACGTCAAGAGATTCGCATCCGTTCTGACGCTGTATTTAGACATGGAAAGTGTATTTTTATCCCTTGTGTCTTAATTTCTAGGCCATCAGGGCAATCATGTTCTTGGATTTTACAAAATTTCGTCGTTCTCAGTTTTATCACGATTTAATAGTTTCTTAATTTTCTTGCTTCGAGTACTGAATTTTTTTAATTTTTTCTGACTGTCCATTACTCGTTTTTTATAGCCAGGTTCTTGTAAAAAAATGAGTGTATTTCATTATGCTCTTTTAGGTTATCGACTTTTTATATGATACTTTTACGTTTATAGAAATCCAGTATGTTAAATAAACAATTAATCCAGCATTAAAAGTGTCAATTTTTATTTGTCAGTTTTCTGTTTTGTCATTTATTTTTCTTTAATTCACTTTTTATATTAGTTTTGAATTTTTGATACCCTTATATTATATATTATATATTACAAAATGATACCTTTGTCACAGATTCTTGTATTTGTTAATTTTGTAAGTGGTTATGATGTAAATTTTGGTTATGAGACCTCTCACGTCTCACGGGCAACACCCATTACCCTCCCACTCTGCTGTAGCTGGCGCCGCAACTGGCTGCATAACCAGAAAATGCCCTCGAATTGCTTAGTTGCTGTACGAAACGAGCAAAGGGTTGATATTTTGGGGCCATGATTTAAAATGTTTCTTTTCTTTTCGGTTACCAAAGTGCGGTGGTGATGGCAAATTGGCCTTGGGCCTTGAGGTCTAGAGAGCCCTCGAGGTTTCCAGTTTCTGAAGCAGCTAGTAAGACATAACAAAATTTTACAGCTTTAAAATGATATCACAGAATATCTATATAATTCTAGCCAGGCTTTATGTAGCAGCCTTTTTTACCTCTCTGGAATCTTTATTACGGTGCCCCTTAAACAAGCTTTTAGGCCTTATAGAATGTTTGTTAGGGTGCCCCTTTAGACAGGCTTCCCCCACAATGCTTCCCACGTCCTCAAATTCAAAACGCTTTATTCAAGACGCTTTATTCAAGACTTGTTGTTGTTGTTGTTGTAAATTTATTTTAATTCGATATAAGAAACAATTGCTAACAATATATACATACATATATAATGTTAACTAATCAAAATCGAGTATAGCTACCAGTTAGTACTTAAAAGGAATAATGGATACAAAATTAAAGATTACATTGCATTTTCTGGTAGAAACTGACAGGAACTGCATTTGCAATTACTCTTCAAACTCTTCAAATTTTCTGCGGATTTCAACTCGTTGGGTAGGCCATTCCAAATCTGTGGCCCGATTGACATAAGACTTTTGGATCCAAATGTTGTTTGATTAGGTCTAACATGGGCTAAGTTATTCGGATTTCTTAATGAATAATTTGACGAACGTAATTTAAAAATACTCTGCATAGAAGGTGGGTTTAACTCTTTTACTGTTTTGAATATTTCAATACACAGAATTCTTTGACGAGCGACGAGCATCGTGCATTTGTCTGCCTTCACAAGCAGATCGTTATACGAACTGGTATGATCATTATATGTTGGATTGTAAGAACAATGATATATTTTATATTATTAGATGGTAAATTTACGTTGTTTCAAACCCCACCCCCACCCCCCAAATAAGGAACTCTTTTTAGGGATTACGTAATCTATTTGCCTCGTTTGTGCAAAGTGGATAGCCTATGCCAAAAAGATGAATGAAAATTGACGTCGAAAGTTCTGCGTTTTGCTAAACCCATTGTCTTACATATAGAGAAATCTTAGGGCACGTTCTTGTATCTGTTCAATTTTCTGTAATGATTTAGACGATGAAAAATACCAGACCAAGGGACAATACTGAAATTGGAATATACGAAGTCTGAATAAAAAACCTTTTTCTCCTGGAAACCAATAAACGTCTTTAATCTTTTAAGAACATTCAATTGTGTTGCAGCTTTTTTGCAAAGATTCGAAATATGTGGGTCGAAATCAAAATTGTAATCCAACGTTACTCCTAAAAGCTCCACTGTCTCCTCAGATTGAATTTTTTTACCATTAATGATCATTTGTTCTCCACTAGCATTTGTCTTGTTTTTTCTAAGAATCATAGCATGAAATTTTTCAGGGTTTGCAATCATCTCATTTTGTTTTAACCATGATAAGGCGATTCCCGTTTCTTTTTGCAAAGTATGTATTCACAAAATCACGCATGTTTCTAGAAAAATAAGAGAATGTATTGTCGTCTGCATAATTATAGAGCGTTGCTTGCTTTATGAATAGAAATAAGTTATTTATGTAAAAATTGAAGAGGACTGGTCCTTGCACAGAGCCCTGAGGTACACCAGACATAACCTCTTGAAAAGAGCTGTATGAATGGTTTATCCTAACACACTGATTTCGTCTTTTGAGATAGGAATAAATTAGAACTAAAGCATTTTCATCAAACCCATACGCTTGCAGCTTGGCGATAAGCAAATCATGTAGAACACAATCGAAAGCTTTCGAATAATCCATTAAGACTGCACCAACGAGATAGTCATTGTCAAGGCTAGTCTTCCAGTCTTCTATCAAACGTATCAAAACATGTTGGGTTGCATACATTTGTCGATACGCAGCAATGAAGACTGAAAGCGTGTAATCTAAATGCTAAACCAATTGATTTTTTAAGACTTTTTCATATATCTTTGAAAAAGTATTGAAAACACTAACTAGGCGGAAATCTTTCTAATGTACGATTTGATTCCTCTTTTTCTAGTGGGCAAACTGCCGCTCTCTCTGCATCGTTTGGGAAACGAAAATTTCGAATGCTACAGTTTATTGCTGTAGTTAAAGTATTTGTAAGTTCATTTGCAGCCAAGGATACAAGCTTCGGGGGAATTTGATCTTCACCAGTAGATTTCTTGCCATCCAGAGATTTTAATAGTTTTGCAACTTCTTGACTGCCTATCTCTTGAAAAGGGAAAGTAGCCAGGACTTTCTCTGGGCTTTGAATAATAGCTAGGACACTAGGATGGTTTTTATACTTATCAAGAATCAAGCGAATGATTTAGCGGTCGTCAAAAACTCCAGTATTTTATGCAGCGCGGTATTCCTATTCGACGCTTTTAACACGCCGACTGATTGGATATTTGCCTCAATGGAGTCTTTGGCTTGTCCTGGTGGGCCTTTTTGAATCCCCAAAAGCTAAAGTTCTTGAAAAATATCCTGAAGACTTGGCTTGAATTGGTTGGCTTGGATGTATTTTCATGAGCCAGTACTAAAAGCTTCTTAAAGCTTTGAGTAATTTGAGTTTCTTATGAGATCTTTGTTGGAACAGGGGTGCAATCTGAAATTTCAAAAGCAATTTTTTGGACCCTTTTTGAAACCAAATTGTCTCTCTTCAGAAGCCCCAACAATAGAATGATGTGATTCCTTTTACTCTCAAGATCTTTGTCATACAGATGTAGCCAAATATAGAACTCAGTTCCAAACAAAATAGGTACTCCCCAACTTTACGAATATTCAAGAAAAAATGTCAGAATTTTCATCGTTCAATTTTACTTGTGATTTTTGCAAGGAATATGTATGCAACAACAGTTGAATTTGATTTGAATCATCTTTAGCGTTGGTAATTTGAATGAGTTGGCTTTATTTAGCTCTAATATTGCTAAAGATTGTACCAACTTTAAATAAATAAAGAAAAAACGGTATGTTCAAAAAAGTTATGTCAAAAAGTTTTATCAAGCCATGTAGATGGTCATCCGAACAAAATTTTGTTTCATGAAAGTATCGTATATGTAAAGTAGGACCTTGATAGTTGATGTTGTGGTGAAAGAAATTTCGAGAATGAAATTTGACTGTAGTCTTGATTCAAATGTATCATTATGGGTGTTGCCTCCTATTTCTGAGCGTCTATAGGGCGTAACAACGCAAAATTTTCCTGACCAGACCACTGACCCTCTCTTCTTTGACCTTCGCCTACAACCTGGATTCGTCGTTGGCTAGAAGACGATTATCGATCTGTTTCAGCAGCAAACTTTGATACCCCCAGGGCGCCCTTCTTGCAGTTCCTGCCCCCGTTACATCACGAAGCTTCCGGCACCTCTGATCCAGCCTCAGCTTTTTACCAATAAAAAAGTTCATCATTTGCAATTTTTGTGCCATATTGACTCTAGGTATCTAGGATCGAATTAGGCAATAGCATCAGGCAAAATTTTTAAGCCCTGTTTTCAAGACAGAAAGTCTATTTAGATTTAGTCTAAAGATTGGAAAACTAGCCCAAGTTAAACCAAATGGCCTTCACACAACACGTGAACAATATAAAGAAGACTGATTGAGGACTGTTTTTTTCGTTTATTGCTGACTGCCCCTGTCAATGGTGTACCGCAGTTTTGGGCACTTTTGCTCGTTAACTAAGGGCCCCAGAAGAAAAGGGTCCCAATAGTCTTTATATCCATCTCTTAAGATTTCACTCATAAATCATAAGGTTCACACTATATTTTTGAAAAATTTAATGTTCAGCAATTGAATTTCTAAAAATCCCCCTACCCTTAACTCAGTCAACGAGAAAAATGAAGTTGCAGGGTGGTCCTTATGAAGAATGCAATATCACAAAGCACAATTGATATGATTTTTCTAATCTGCAGTTTCGCTTCATATTTGCCAGGTTGTATTTCAAACTCCCAGCATGGCTTTCATTTAAAAAATGTTTGATAAATAACTATGATTTATCAACAAGCTTGTTAAAACATAGTCGATGTTTTTGTCAGTTCATTTCGCAATTCCATCACTGCCACGCCATCAGCAATAAATTTTGACATAATGATCATACCCTTATGTGTTAATTACCCAAAATATGCCATTACCCGAAGGTGATGAAGATTTGATCATAAAAACAATTAAAAATTACCAGAATCCATTTATAATTGGTGAATTTCACGAGGCAATAGCCGTCATTACCACAACATTTAAACATAGTAGCGGCGTGGTGGAATTGTTTAGCTATTTACATTATCTGAATAATTTTAATCTAGTTCACAGTGATCTTTAAAAAGACGATAATAGCCAATAAGCAAACAAAGATTTGTTTTTCAAGCTTTTATTGCAGCTGATATTGAAAAATGCATTGACTTAGGTTGAAACATCGAAAATTTTCCTTTTATTTTGTGGAATTTTTTCTTTAAAAATTATCCTTAACTAACACAACCATAGCTGACGTCCACTGTTCGAGATTGTTCGAAATTTTCGAAAAAAACTTATGAACTGTCACTGTACTGTATACTAAGGGTAGAATGTCCTTGCTTGGCCTAGATGGCAGTATTTTTTGTTACATTTGTTTTGTGTGCGCTTATTGCATGTGTGTCCCTTCCTTGTTAGATTTTTGTCAATAGTACGCCCAGGTATCTAATATGCCGTGACTTGGGCGGGAGATAGGTGTGTACCACAGAGAGAAACATGTTTTCTTTTCAAGAAGATATATATATCTATATATATATCTTGAAAAACTCATTCTATAAAATGTTTAGACGATAGTGTATAAGCTCAAAGAAAACAATTTCGTAAGACGTTTCGCTTTAGCTTCATCAGTAATAACTTTACAAAATCAGAGGAGCCTACTTATCAACCTAAATTATAATAGAACAATACAATACAATAGAAATCTAAGGGGCACCTGCCTAATACAATACATGTTGTTAAATGTGTAAGAACGCAAATTGTTATGGGGAACTGGGAGAGAAGTGAATAGAAAGGTAGAAAAAAGGATGTCATGGAGATGGTGGTGTTGACTGTCCCACAAGAGATAAATGAAAGCCATAAAATCAAAAAACACATAAAACGAGAAGATAGGCCATAAACAAAACAGCCGACATTAAAGAATAAAAAATTAAAGCGTAGAAGTATATAAATGTCCCATGTATCTACCTGCCTAGTATTAAGATATATATATTATATATCTCCGTGCCTCGCGGCCCTAAAGCTGAATTCACACTGACCGCATCGAGCGTCGCGTCATGTACTTTTTCATGCTATTCACACACGATGCGTCATCGAGCGGTGCGTTTTCTGTTTTCCAATGCTGTTCACAGCACACTTGCAAAATTCTCGACAAATTCCACTGTATTCCTTGCTTTGCAAAATCAAGCCGGACATTTACGTTTGCTACAGAAACAGACGAAACGGTAATCTGAAGCTGATATATCAAAAACAGCATCTTGGCCAAAAAATGAGGTATTCTATGTACTTCAATTAGTCTCGTGCGGTTTCTTCGACATTTCGTTTCGAGAGGTTGGCCAATGTTTTTTTACAGGAAAACGATTCTCTTCAAGCATTCATTAGAAAACCGAAATGTTTATTGATATTAAAGATTTGGAAGGTCTACTACAATTAGCTAAATGTTTGGCTTTACGGATTCATGGGGGTTTCCTTCTTGCCAAAATTCGAGGGAAAATTAAACAGCTTATTTTTATCAACACTCCCCAAAATTTCCATGGATTAAATCCCTCGGAAGTACACCTTTGGAAGGTATTGAAAGTTTAACGGGGAGTGATTGAAATATTTGTTTACCAAAACGGAACAAACGATGACTCAAAATCATTGTTGAATTGAACATCGACGAGGCTCTAAACACAAATAAAACTGTTACTTATCATAAACTAATAAATGTGATTTGTTTTTCTTACTTTCAGAATTTAGCCCCCCGATGCTTTAATCAGAGAGACTCATCAAAATATACTTTACAGTATAAGCAATACAGTTTTATAATGGCCTATTTCAGAAGCTCCTTGTTTACGTTTCTAGCAGTGGTGACGCCAGGGGAGGGCTAGGGGGGCTACAGCCCCTCCGTCGGAAGCATCTAGCCCCTCTATCGGAGGAAATTTTGGGTTATTGTCGGAGCAAATTTGACAAAGTAACGTACAAAAATTGCATATTTTAGTCATTTTAGCCCCCTTGTCGGAAGCTGAAGCCCTTCTGTCTGTCGGAAGATTTCTGGCGCCACCTCTGGTTTCTGGCTGTCATTATTCTCTCCTTCGCAATATCTAACGCAGTCAGATTCATGCAGATTTCATAAGGCTTCATTATCATGGAACTCGATTAATTTTTTTTTGCATTTAGCGTTAGATTATTTGCGATGAGCCACTCTGAATTTTGTATTAATTCGGAGTTAACTTCTTTTCTAGAGCATCAATGTTTGTGTTAGAACAAAACAGAGTCAGGAAAACATTCCCACGGCCACTGGCCTGAGGAAGGTTGTAAAGGCAAGAAAATTGAGGAAGGTAATAAAAATTTTTGGAAACTTGAGGAAGTTGAAGAAATCGACTTGCCTTTTGTTTTTCAAAATACAGTCTGACAAAAATAGAAACAATCAAATAGTATTCATAAACATAAATTAAGGCATTAACACTGTGAAATTAAGACATTAACTTTTTATAATTAATAAAGTTAAGTTTTATTGTTAATTGGGAAAAGCATGTAACTTTTCATGTCTGAGGAACCAAGAACAACTTTTTAAAACGTTTTGGAAAAGTGGAGTTGCAAGACTAGGCCACTTCCAATCTCCTGGCCACGCCATTTTAAGAAACCCAATTGAAAATGAGGAAGGTTTAAAAGTAAGATTTTCTTGGCCAGAGGAAGGTGGACAGATTTTCTGGACCCTGGAATAGAACATACTTTGTGATTAATGGAAAATAAAGTCTGCACGCAGGCTAACCAAATCCTCCTGAAAAGAAGACAGTAATGGGAAACTACCTTCTCCATAGCCTTTCTAAAGTTACATGTATATGTTGCTGCACGATCATAAAAACAACATCATCATCTTTTTTGCTTTCCTGTAACACCTCATCAAACCGAAGTTCAGCAAGAGCTGACCCTTCTGTTTCCAAGTTTGTTGTTATTATCAATTCTTTATCGACCAGCATTTGTACTGTGTTGGAAAATTCCCTTACCTGTTCCTTGCATTTTCTACACATTATTCATAAGATCTTTGAAAGAGACGTAAAAATCATTTACACTGTATTAACCGTCTAAAATAAAATTATCATATTTTAACCTATACACTCTTTTATTTTATAAGAACCAGTATCTTTAGGTTCAGACTGACTGTTCTTAATTTTTTCGAAAATCCGAGGCTGGATTGTTCTTAATTTGTTCTTAAATTAAGAGGGTGAAAGCAGCGCTATTGCTAGCTTTTTCGCTCTAAGGAGGTGTTCAGGCCTCATTTGCCAACAAAGTGAGTGATACAGCCTTAATTTAATGACAAATTTGAATATTCACCGAAAAAGCATCCACACATCGCTAAAAATCCTCGATTTTGAGAAAAAAGTTGTTCAAAATTGCATTTTGCGGAAGCTCAGCCTCAGCTTGTTCTTAATTTGTTCTTAACGTTTGACCAGTTTTGAGGCTCGTGTTCTTATAAAATTGTTCTAATAAAAAAAAGAGTGTAAACACATTTTTGGGGATTTTTATCCAGTTAAACAGAAAAAAATGTCAATATAATTGCTCTTTTTAAATGGGAAATAGAAAAAGGTTCAAAAAGAAGTGTTTATGTTTTCTTACGCACAGACCCGCCAACAGCTGTAAAAAGAAAGGCACCGGAAGTGGATCATCGGAAGTGGATAATTGGAAGGGGATCACAGGAAGTGGATCATTGGAAATGCGCCATGGCATCAACGTCAGATGTGCTTCATCGCATCATTGCAAGAATCTTTGATCATAGCCACAAGAAGAAGGGCAAGAAAATTCTCCTTCTTGTGACTATGTTTTGACGTAACAAAGAAACCCACAGTGCAGGGCAAGACAATTTAAAGAGATCAAATAGTATAATACAACGCTAAAAGCATATATCCATTTATTTAAAAGCGATGCACGTATAAACGGGATTTTAGACAAACAGTGAAGCTGGCAAAACAGAGAAACTTAGTAAGCGACAAAGGGGCATTTTTACCTGAATTTTTGAGAAATGGAGGGCATATACTCTCTGTGTCCCCCGGTTCCTACGCGTCTTTGCTTGAATTCAAGACATCTTCAATGCCTTTACTGACATATCCAGCATATGCGAGCAAAAATTGGTAGCAATCTGAAATCTCTTCAGCATGATGATGAAGGTTAAACAGAACTCATCAAAGAAAAATTTTTGTGGTCAAATTGCCTTGCAAATCAATTTTTGGTTCTCATCAAAATGGAAAATATTAACTTTTCTCTTGCATGTAGTATCAAGAGATACTCAGGGGTGGCGCTAGAGACAAACCTTCAAGGTGCCGAAGTTTATATTCTCCGTAACTGCCGACGCTGGATGTGTCAAATTGCCGACAGAAAAAAAATTCGATTTGCCCCATATAGCAGGCAGGGCCGTCGCGAGGCAAGCCTCGTTTGGGGGGGGTGTGGAATGCAAATTTACCTGATTAAAAAATTATTGCCTGAAACTTTTTAGCTGGTGTCACAAACCTCTGCAATACATTTTGTCAATCTAATTCTGTATGATAATGACCGACTTTTCTAATAGTCTTGTCAAATCTCTATATCGGGACTGGCAAAATATATAGTTACTACCTGAGGCAGCACCATGGTTGCCGCCGAAGGGGCAGGAAATTTTCGAATTGTGATGCTTCTAGTTCCCTGGAAAATGCACTCTCTTAGGCAGATTTCACTAAAGCAATCCTCCTAATCCTATTGAAAATTATTGTCTTTTTGCAAAACTTTTTACAGCAGATAAAAACAACAATTTCGCCGTGGTCTTGAAAAATACCAGGCTGTCAGTTACTTTTAAATTTAGATCCCTCTCTCCATCTTAGCATGCCTTATGAATGTTAAGAAAAATCTGGAGCTCATAGTGAATTGCAGTTGATGCTTCTACTGAGAAACTTTAGGAGAAATGGACAGGAGGCACAATTTTAATTTTAAAAATTTTAAAAATTAGAGCATTTTTCCAAAATCGTTTGTTGTGGGTGCAAAATTCTCCCTTGCCCCTTCCCCGTCCCCACTTTCCAACCTGTGTCGGAGTCCACGAGATTTTCCCGGCAATTTGTGCCTTGTAAGAAACTTAGTGCGCAAATATTGCCTATTGTTGAATATTTCTTCCTATCTATGTTGGAAGAAGTTAATCGATGGTTTTCTCTAAACCATTTGTTTGTCGCAAGCTATGCGGTGAACAATGCTATTGAAAAATAGTTGATGAAAAAGGACAAGTGCTTTTTGAAAAATTTATTACGCAAAATGTGCTCATGATCGAAATGTTTTCATTGGCAATAATAATGTCTTGAAACGAAAAGAGAATCCCTTAAGAAGAAAATTCATTAAAGACTTTATTTATAACCGAGAGGAGCACGATGGTATTGTGGGTCATGCGAAGGAGCACCATGAAATTAAGTCACAGCTTTCAAGGAAGCGACAGGATATAATGACACTATGATAGTAAAATTGCCGAAGAAAAGCCATTGAGAAAACCATAAACCAGCCAGTGCAGTTTTCTCCTCGATTATTTATGTCATTCAAACAACATGTAAACCGGGTGACATCCATCAAGTGCCGACGGTATTGAGAAAGCAAAAATTGATTGGCTGCCGACGGGGGGGCTAACAAAAATTTAGGGGGGGCTAAAGCCCCCCCTTGCCCCCCCATGCCGCCACTCCTGGAGATACTTGAAACCTGGATTTCATTAGCATTCAAAATATTGATATGAATTGATATTGTTTGGAAGTCAGTTTCATGAAAAGGGATTGTCCTTATTTTGTGTAAGTAGTGCGATTGCCAGCTATTGCGCTTTAGGGAGGTGTTCAGGCCTCGTTTGTCAACAAAGTAAGACTTATTTTATTTGCCGACAGCTTTGTAAATCCACAGAAAAAGCACCCATAGGAGGTTCTCATTTATGAGATGAAATATTTTTCAAAATTACTTTTTACAGTAGCTCAGCCTCATCTTCACCTAAATTTCTTCTCAATTTTGACCAAATTTGAGGCTTGTGTTCATAAACAATTGTTCTTATTAAAAAATATAAGTAATTTGAGAATGAAATCTTTGCACACAAGTTTTTCCTGAGGAGAGCAACTTGCCTAGGTATTCTTTAGGAAAATTACAAAATTTAGCAAAAAGTTGACATCCAAGTTATTTTATGAAGAGGCATACATTTCTTGTGGACAAGTTTTTGTTGGATTGTTTTACTGCAAGTGACTTTGGAGAACCATTACTTTCTTTGTATGGTTCCCACTTAGGCCTGGTTCAAACCAGGGCCAAATTTCAAAAGATGTATTATTGCACAGAATGACTCAGTAAAAGTACCAAAAAGCAGTGCATCACAAAGAATCTTGGATGGCAAAAGGCCTGGTGCCAAGCCTTTTCTTACATTGTCCAATGATGTTGCGCTGTTGGGTTCAGGGTTTGGTTCCAGGCTAAAGGTCGTAAATTCACGAAGAAGCCCAGCAAACGCCTAGACGAAAATTGATGCACCTTCTAGAAGCTCATATAGGGGGCTAGGCCACTAAAACCATTAAACCCTCCCCAGGAAAACCCTGGATTGCCAGGAAAACCCCGAATCTGCTTCTCTAGAAAATCGCGTCCTTTTGTTTGTTTTTGTTTGATCGGCCATTTTCACTCCCAGTTAAACAATAAAGATTGTAATGGCCAATGAAATCAAACAGCGTTTGTGTTGAGTCTGTAGAAAAAAATTGAATGAGGATAAATGCAAATTAGTTTCCTTTATAAGCATTCGGAAAATTACACACACAAATTAATGATCCCTAAAACAATTGAAATTCCAAATGTGCTTTTGTCACAAAGAGCGATTCTTCATTTATTGTGCATGTTTAATTTGCCATAACAGTTGCGTTCTTCAACAGAAAAAGAAGGTTGAAAAATTTGCTGTTTGCAAAAATGGCGCAAGAAACTGTTAAGGAGGAAAAAGTGAAGCAAAAGGACAACCAGGAAGAAGAGGTCTATGGCATTGATAAGTGCTTCCGTATCAATTTCAAGTTAGGTTGCATGAGAATTGATTTGAACCCAGTTGTGAGTTTTTTTTCAGCTGTAATAATATGGGCGTTTGTTATTTGGTGCATAGTGGATCCAAAGGGATCCTTGAAGGAGATGGGCAAATGGAAGGACTGGATAACAGGCACCTGGACCTGGTTTTACATTGGAACCCAAGACGTCTGGGCGGTATTCATTCTAATTCTTTACTTCTCGAAATACTCCAACGTCAAACTTGGCAAGGACGACGAGAAGCCTGAATACAATGACGCAACGTATTTTACGATGTTGTTTGCCGCCGGCATTGGCATAGGGTTGTTCTACTTCGGTGTAGCTGAGCCAATTTTCCACTATGCACCTGGAAAATATGGTAACCGTTTTTGGAACAGGCAAGTAGGGCCGTTTACTTTTCATGCGGTGGATAAATAGTGAGGAAGAATGAAACTTTGATCATGACATGGTAGAGAAAGATATGAATTAAACCCGCTTACCTTTTTATTTCAATAGTTGCTGCGACTATCCTTGAATTATTTTATAATAAACTGAAAATTCTTTTCCCTTTGATGAAGGTTTTCTGATTTACTTAAGATAATCTAGCAAGTTTGAAAACAAGTGGTAGATAAACTAAACAATTTTGCGGTTTGCGTGACCATCGCCGGAGCGAATCTTCAAATTTGCGTTGGATTAATAGAAGGGAGAGGATGAAGGAGTGAACTAAGCGCTCGGTTTTTTTAAGTTCTACCTAAAAACAGTACTTCTCATAACGCTGGGCAATACATGTCTGCTGCGAAAGCTAACTTTGTGAAAATGACTGAATCAAGGCACTCTGACGAAAAGGTGTGCTGCCCTCTTTGTTATAAGAACGAGTAAATTTAAGTTCAGGCTCACTGTTCTTAGTTTCTTTGAAGATCTGAGGCTGGATTCTTCTTAAATTTTTCTTAGATTAATAGGGTGTAAGCAGTGCAATCAGGGGCGGACTGGCTGGTCGGGCTATTCGGGCGATCGCCGGAAGGGCCGGTCGGTTTGAGGGCCGGCTGATAAAAGTGCAAAAAAAACTAGCTTAAAAAGTGAACGCGAGGCAAAAAAGTATACCCAAGTGTGATCTGTTTGCCTTGAATTTTCAGAGACTTTGTGGGAAAGAATAAATATACACGCAAGTACTCGAGAACCATTAAAATTACGAATTCATTATTGTCACCGCAGCCCAGACACACTTCAGGAAACATGTTATTGTTGTATTTTCTCTTGACGGGATTTTATTTTTGGCTACATACTATACTGTAACACCCCTGTTTCAATGCGATACATAAGGTTTTAACCTGCCTTGATGTCTTTTTGATGAAAAGCCACAAACATCACAAAAAACAGCATGGTCTTGCTTCTTTCAATAACTCATACAAGTTATGGAAAGTTTATTAGGCCTACACTATCATAAGTCAAATGCACCCCCTGCCCAACATGGGTATGGTGCTACACGATAAAATTTCAACAGGGGTGCCCATGTTTTCTTTTTAGGGTCAGAAATTGACAAATTGATATTTTTGGGTTGCTGAAAATCATTGTGGTTTTTCGGAGGATTAGAAAATTATTTGTCACAAGTGGAGTGTGATAGAAGCCTTCCACTTTAAATATATAAAGAACAGGTTACGTAGAAATTTTTTCAAAACTTACGAAACTTAAAATCCTCGCTTTTGAAATAGATGTTGTTAAAAATTGCATTTTACATAATCTCAGCATCAGCTTGTTCTTAATTTTTTCTTACCGTTTGACCAATTTTGAGACTAGTGTTCTTATAAAATTGCTCTTTTAAAAAAGAGGATTCGTCGCCTTCTTGGGGCATCAATGTACGTCATAAATGAATAAGGCATCCACCCCAAAGCATAACCGGACGTCAGTGTGATTTGGTATATCATAATAAAAAACTGGAGCAACGACTTCATAATTCTCCAGCAAAAACTTGTTTCCAATGTCGTTGTTCTGCTTGCACTTACAGTGGCTCTACATGCCACCTCTCTCTATTCTGTGACGCCACAGCTAAACATGTCACACACGGGCAAAACTTCACTATTTTCATTAGGGGGTATGAAACTTCGATGCCCGACGAAAGGGCGTGTCATGCTGGATGGAAGGCCGTGTCATGCCTGAACATCATTTTTAGGGCACTTCGCCTCAAGGGTTGAAATCATCAGTGACCCCGAGAGAGGGCCACCATGTATGTTAGACCTTCAGACTCAGGCTGTTTTTCAAAGCCAAAAAAATATTCCTCTCGTTTTTCTAGTGTTGGCTATAAACATTTGTTTCCGAAAAGCAAGCATTTGTAAGGCCTGGCTTTTCTATAAAAGGAAAATAGTCTTCACTTTCTGAATCTCCTAGAGAGCAATTTAAAAATAAGATTGAAGTAAAGTCTCAATTTGATCACAGTGGAACAACAAAACACAGCTTGGAAATTTTGGAATTTCGAAACAAAAATAAGAATCCCATAAAAGAGCAACAGTTTTATTTTCTGAGTTTGATTTTCAACTTTCAGTTGCTCCGTTAGGAAAATGGACATTTTTAGACACCCAAGCACAAAGTAAGTATCCCTGAATTCACCATAACAAAATCCCTCAAGTTTAAGCAAAGAAAACCTTTCTTATTGAATTGGCCACTGAGTGTGCCCTCGCGGGCGACATCTGGCCCGCAAGCAGTAGATTGGATAACCCTGGTTTAGTACAACTGAAAATCTATCCTTTGTTGTGCGGATAGCCTTTTTAATGCGCTTTCTGCTGCTTCATTTTTCTTTTTTTTTGAAACAGCGTCACAGCTTTGAAGATCAAAGTACTTTCTCAAACAGTCAGAATCACGATAAACAATGACAATCCGCTTTATTTTCTTTAACAACTCCCACGAGCCTGTTCACGGGCTCATTCCGTATTATAGATACCCCAGGTATTTGTTCCATGCCCGGATTTCCTTAAGTCCTGCAGTTATTCGTTTAAAACGAATATCATAGGTATCAGCAAATTGGTATAAGCAAAGGGCTTTGTTCAAACAATTACACTTTTTTATAAGAACCAGTAAATTTAAGTTCAGGCTGACTGTTATTAATTTTTTCGAAAATCTGAGGCTGGATTGTTCTTAATTTGTTCTTAAATTAAGAGGGTGTAAGCAGTGCTATTGCTTGCTTTCTCGCTCTAAGGAGGTGTTCAGGCCTCATTTGCCAACAAAACGAGTGAGACAACCTTCATTTGCTGACAAATTTGAATATTCGCCGAAAAAGCACCCACGCATCGCTAAAAATCCTCGATTTTGAGAAAAAACGTTGTTCAAAATTGCATTTTGCAGAAGCTCAGCCTCAGCTTGTTCTTAATTTGTTCTTAACTTTTGACCAGTTTTGAGGCTCGTGTTCTTATAAAATTGCTCTTATAAAAAAATGAGTGTATGCGGTCATATTTAGTGGTGATGTTACCCTGGGTTCAAGGGCTCTGATACCTTTGGGATAATGCAATAAATAAACAACATATATACTTATTTATTGCTTTAAGCTACTTCATTGCTTATCTATCCCCATTTGTTTGACTGTTTTGTGTGTATGAAGCTGGGGTTATGAGATTGCTAGCTGCATGGGCAAATTGTCAAGGCTTGAATGAACTTCATATTAATGTTGAAGATAATACAAAGGTAGTTCTTTTATAAAAAATCTACACTGTTCAATGATGTTGCCTAGCATCTTGTTAGATTAAACGTTAGACTAAATAATACATCGTTTCGCTCGCAGCTTGTATTGAGAACTGAAACATTTCGCGCTCCAGATGTTGTACTTTCGCTTAGGGTGCTGAAACGCATACCCCACCCCCCACCGACAAAGTCGCAATGTACTTTTGAAAGCTTTTTCAATGCTTCTAAGAACATCCTAAAGCAAACAAGACTTCCATGTATGTGTACAGGATAAGCTTGCTTTGTTTGAGTCAGTCGACAAAGAGAGGAAGGGTTCGCAAAAATTGTAGGTTCCATAAAAGCAGGGATAGTGGCAACAAATTGGTCTAGTGTAATGATTGTAAAACGCCACACCAATATGGGAAAGTTAACCATTCCCTGAGTATTTCTCTGTCATTTCTTTGTTTGAATGACAGGGATTTGAAAACCAGTCTGTGCCAAAAAAGAGTGGTCGTGTTCTCTCAAGTGCCAAAACTGTGTTCTAGACGGTGCCCTATACAATACATCCGTTTAACGCTCATGTCCGAGCAGGGAATTATTGTCATGTTAGCAGGGTAGATAATTTTGGTGCTGATTTGGAGCTTTCTGTGGCCTTGAAGCTCGACTATGTAAAGCACCCCTGTGTTCCCATCAAGTCTCAAATGCTAAACCCTTTCTCGAAACTGTTTTCACCACTCGAACTTTTAATCTATTTCAAGCATTTTACATTATCCCAGAGCAAAGCTCTACCTAGTTCAGTTACATCCATTTAGTAACATAAATGTGTCTTTCAGGTACACTGACAACCAGCGTGCCCAAGACGCCATAAACCTGACTTTTTTTCACTGGGGAATCCACGGCTGGATCGTTTATGTCGTCATCGGTCTCCTGCTCAGTTTCCTCAGCTACAGAAAGAATCTTCCAATGACGATGCGCTCTTGCTTCTACCCACTGCTTGGTGACCGTGTCTTTGGAGTGCTGGGAGATATAATTGACATCCTGTCAGTTGTTGCAACTATGTTTGGCGTTTGCACAAGTCTTGGTCTTGGCGCAATTCAACTCAACTCCGGATTCAGGCGCGTAAACAGCAAAATCAGTATCTCGACTGACAATCAGATAATAACAATCTGGGGAATTACAGCCCTTGCCACAGCGTCTGTAATCAGTGGCATCAAGGTCGGCATCAGAAGGTTGAGTGAGATTTGTTTTGGGCTTGGTAAGTGCAGTCGCCATCACAATGTAACGTTTGCAACCCGATCTTTATCCAAAAACCAAAAAGAGTCTCCGTGAAATTAGAGCTGAGGAGTGAAAATGCAAAAGTGGCCCTTTTGAATGTAACAGCTCACCTGGAAAACTTAAAGGTTGCCCATTTACTTAAACATAACCATCATACACTCAGTGCTTCCCAAATGATTCTAAGCAGTATCCAGTCATCATTGAGAGATCATCGGATATAAATGCATCCTTTCCAACCAATGTAATATAAATAATTTGGTTAGTACAAGGATGGCACTAATGGTAATTTTCATATTTAGGCTAACAATCATTTTGAGCAACTTGAATTCGCACAAGCCAGATCCTAGATATAGGTCCATCTTTTCTCCGGACGATACCCATTAGCTCTGAATACCTTCCTCAGAAAACAATGAAAAGGGTGGGATCTTCCGGGCACCACAGAGCAGGGGGGCTTTAGCCAATGAATCATATTCATCAACGAATCACCAGTCAAGTCTCTTTTTATTCGGTATTATCCCCCCCCCCCCAACTTTTTTTAGATCCTCCACTTTTCTCAACGTTCCGCGGTGCCTGTCGGTTTGCCACATACATTTTTCGTTGAGCCTCCACACAGTCGTTGACCTTGTAACTATGCCTGCTTAACTTTGATACCTATAGTTTTTTGTCACTTTAATCTATTGCAGTATAATCTTGCTATTCTTTTCCTTTGGTCTTGTTAAAATAATTCTTTTTGCCTTATGTGGTGCATGCTTTTGCCGTAATAGATCTTTTTTTCTTGTAACTTGAATGCTTTTGTTTTAGGTATGATAATTTTGTTCATTGTTTTCTTCCACGAAAATACTTGGTACCTGCTGAATCTGTACGTCCAAAGCATTGGCTACTACTTGCAGTGGGTAATTCAACTTGGGTTTCATACAGATGCATTTGCGCAGTTGGACAATGCACCCGATAATCTTGAAGCTCCAAAGTGGATTGATGGTTGGACCATTTTTTATTGGGGCTGGTGGATCGCTTGGTCACCTTTCGTTGGAATGTTTATTGCAAAAATTTCCCGTGGCCGCACAATCAAAGATTTCATAACCTACACCCTCACCATCCCAATCTTGTACACTTTCCTTTGGCTGACAGTGTTTGGTGGAGCTGGTATTAAGATGGAAAGAGATGCAGAAAATGCAGGCCTCAACTGCACCAATCCTGTAAGTGCAAGTGGCAAGCTATTTAGGCTGTCTTGCAGAACAAAGGAGGACATGTGGTTTGACCTGATGCAAAAGTATGGAGACCTGGGAACATTCCTGTCAGTTTTGTCTTTGATGGGAATCATTCTGTACTTCGTAACCAGCTCTGACAGTGGTTCTCTTGTCATTGATTGTCTGTCTGCAAATGGCAATAAAGATCCACCAATTATCCAGCGTATTTTCTGGGCCTTGACAGAAGGCGCGTGTGCTACTGCTCTGCTAAAGTCTGGAGGTCCAAACGCCCTGACAGCGTTGCAGACCGCATCCATTGCGTCAGGACTACCGTATACCGTAATGTTAAACTTCATGTGCGTTGCACTCTGGCGAGCCGTCCGTGAAGACGCTGGTGACTACGACCCTAAAAACTCAGAGTTCACAATGGGAATATTCGACATTACATCACTTGATAGAATCGGGAAAGCTGTGATTTCCATTTTCTGTCCATGGTACTACATGGGAAAGACTTCGGGTAATTTGTTTGTTTTCTGTGTTGCAAACAATTTTGCGATATTAACATAGAATTCATTGTGTTAAAAATCTGTTTATTACCATAATTACAGGCATGATCAATTCTAGAGGCTCTGATTTCTTTCAAACGACATTTAGACGAAATATTTTATATAAAATACAATTATTCAGTGCTAGTTAATTAGATTCTCCTTTTAGGCAAACTGCATCGAAAACATCCAGCCATCTTTATGGTGCTGTTTGCTATAATGTTCTACTTGTGGATAATTCTGATGATCTGTGAAGTCAAAGTTGAGGGAATATCCTATATTGGCTGGACCTTCTTCATGATGTTCGTTGCATATGGTGCAGGCATAAGAATCAACATAAGAGACAAGTATAAGATCGAAGGAAACATGGTCGAGGACTTTTTTGCAGGTACTTTTGACTTGATCCCTTTATCGAAGTGTTTCTGTGTCGATGAGATGTGTGTTTCGCGATGCTTATTTGTTTTGTAAACAACCTGGCAAAACATGGCTGTTGGTTTCATATTGTAATGAAAATATGTCTCATCAGTGATATCGATCATCGACAATAGACTAAACTAATTTAATCAATTTTAGTGCATTTAAATCAAGTTTAGTGCATTTAAATCAAGTTTAGTGCATTAGTGCTTTTCTTAAAGAACATTGCAGAAGAAAATATTCCAAGGTACCTAGGGCCTTTAGTAACCATTTGTAGCTTTTAAATGCTATGATAGCATAGATGAAATCGGCAGTCGTTCTCAAACTATGATAATTTGTGATTCCACAAAAGCGTTTTAGAATCCTTAATAGGCAAGGCCGTCGGAGGCAGGGGAGGAGGCTGAGGGACAGTTTTCGAATCGATGTTCATAAAAATGACAAAATTGCCATTGTGTAGACAGAAGAAGTTCGCCTTTTTATATTTCTCAGACAAAAGTGTCAGACAAAAAGCTTTAGCATGTCATAAAATGGTTGTCATTTCTAAGTTCCATTCGTTCTAAACTAAAGAATAACCGGTCTTTACTTCTGACAATGAAGCATCTTTCAATTTTACGAAGGTGAATTCCTTTTTTTGCGTTACCGTCTCAAATCTCCTTATGTCACTATTTATGACATTATATTTCTTGATACCAGTACTGGTATTCATAACATTTGGTTACAGCCAATTGCCATCAGTTTATACGAGTTACTGAATATTATTTTAACAGTACTGATCCTGTATCCTTTGGCTGCTGTGCAAATGTGGGATCAAACTGAGAAAGGTGAGGTTCCATACAGCAATGGTGATGCCATCGAGTTGGGAACAAGAAATGCTGCAGCCGCACCTGAAGACACTGCTGTCACAGAGCGCAACGGTTTTGAGCCCGTTGGACCCGAAAAAGTAGCTGTGTTTGAAGACAAGCCTCCTCCAAGCTATGACAACACAGTGTTGTAACGAAAAATAGTTAACCTGAATTTACACTAATTGGATTTTTTAAGAATTTTGTAACATTTTCATTTTTCTTTTATCATCTCAACAAACATTTACATTCGCATAAAAAGTTTCGAGTTATTACATATTTTAACTGTTTTTACTTTAATCTATTGTCAGCAAATCAATAAAGAAAATGATAGTTGCTGCTATGTTTCACACTTGTGTGGGACTGTTTGATGCTTGCTTACTTACCAAAAGATTTAACAGCATTTTTTTCAGAATTCTTGCAAATCTTGTTCAGTATATTGTATCCATATTTTTCAAACTTTGTAAATTATCATTCCTAGAGACCTTGCATACACTAGATGATGATTTTTTCTACGTTTGTAGTCTTAAGTTTTGATACATTTTCTTTAGTGTTGTTCTTAAAATATAACCAGCTTTGACTTAGTTGTCTTCAAGTATATTAAATTTTGCTTAAAACGACATTTGAACGTTTTATATTAACCATTAATCGCACCTATTTACATAAAATTGCTTTTAAAAACTGCGTCATGTTTTCATTGAGAATCTCAGTCTACTTTGCCTATGTAAATGGGTACCATTCTCTAAATAGAGAGAGTCGCTTCTTGAAGAGAGAAAAAGAGAGTTCGCTCCCCAGGGTACCTTTTGCAGCTGCTTGCATAATAACCAGTTTTAGGTTATTGGCTTGCACCTTATTCCATTTCCAGTTGTCAAATTATGCTTTTATTTTCCAAAATTATTGCGTGACCAACCCTAAACCTGTTTTGTTTGAGTATCAGTAAAATATTTATTCTAGTTGAAAACTATGCTAGGACTTCCCTATCATCATCTTTCCCAAAATTGAAGAGTACGAAAAGAAACATGTAAACACAATTAATTGCACACAAGCATTAAATTTTCTTGAAATATATCAAGATTCGAGATATTTTGCTATATTGCTATAATGCTATATTAACAGAATTCAAAGCTTATTGTCAGGTGCTCTATTTGATTTTTGTAACAGCAACAAATTCTTCGTAAGAAATTTCTCCATCTCCATTTTTATCCAGGGTTGAAATCAATACATCAAGCATGTCCTGAGAAAGAGCAATGTTTGCCTCTCGGAAACCGAAAACAAATTCATCTGGTGTTAAAAGCAACGTTTTATCTCTGTCCCATTTGTTAAACAAGTCAAGCATGCGTAGATTTTTTCTTCTAAGATACCTCTTCAAGATTGTGAAGATTTTCGTTCGCGCCTTGGAAAGGTCATCTGTGGAGGACGAACCACAATTTGGCCTTGCTACACCACGATAACGAGCTATGAAATTAGGTCTTTGGCTCATCAGTTCTTGAATCAGACAAACGGCACCCTCATCAATGTAGATTTCATCCATCGCTATTTCAACAATCCCTTCTGCTTTTTGTATTGCTTTGATCAAAGGCATACAACCAGTATTTGTGATTGGGTTGTAACCAACATTCAGTCTTTTCAAGGATTTGTTTTTGCTCAGTCCTTTACTGAGAGCTACGCAGCCTGTATTGCTTATGCGATTATGAGAAAGGTTCAATGATTCAAGTGTGTCATTAACAGCCAAGGCTGTCCCTATAGCCTCTGCCCCGCAATCAGAAAAGCCATTGAAGCTTAAATTTAGGATACATATTGATTTATTCCAAGCCAAACCTGAACTGAAGTCAATTGCCCCTTGCAGTCTTAAATGGTTCCAGCTCAAATCTAACTCAACAATGCTTTGGTTCATCTCTATAGCTAAACCAAGATCTTTCCCAGCAGTTGACATGAACTGATTGTGGCTCAAATTCAAAGTTTTTAAACTCTTATTTGCTGCAACGCCATGTGCAATTTCAAAGGCTCTAGCATCGCTTAAGGAGTTCCCGCTTACGTTTAGTTCCCTAAGAACTTTCGAGTCCCGTAAAATCATGCTTATATATTTTGAACCCTTTTTGCCAATGTTATTGTCAGCTAAGTTCAGTTCTGTGATGTATGTATTTTTCAATAGCATGTTATGTAGCTCTTTCATACCTTTATGGTCAATCCTATTTCCCCGCAAATCAAGGCTTCTCACGCAATGATTGCCGACCAGTGCCTCCGCAAGTACTTTCAGCTCATTGGCTCTCAACACATCATGTGATAATCGAGCGCTTCTCACGGTCAATCGATCCATGATAAACTTCGATGGAATCAAATCATTTTCAGCAAACACTCTCTTGCATTGACCTGTCGTAGAGCGATCCAATTCACTAGCAAAGTCAGAAAACGACTCCTCCAAGTCTGTATCCCAGATGCTCTCTTCAGATGATAATTCAATTATTGCGGTATTTCTGTATCGATTTGCATCATTAATGGCAGTAGGGTCTTTTCTGTCATGAAACTCATCAACAGCATTATGAAAAGTGGCAGTATTATCATTTAGCGAAGACTCCTGAAAATGGGGTCTATGCAGCATTTTTACGTCTTTAGTCAACCCCTCTAGATGCTGCAACTTTCTTCGAAGTATTTGTTTTGGCGACTATAGCAACAAATATGCTAAAGATTCTAATCAAATATTCTAATGATACATTAAGGTAATGTTAATGTTCAATTGATTGAGATTTTTATGTCATGTCGACATTATTCAATCTAACTACTGTTTTAGTACAGCAATTAACACCATGAGGTGAAAGATCATCTACTGGTTTGAAATTGTAATTTCATTTATGCCACGAACGACATTTGCTTGATTCAAAGTTCTCTCGTGTGCTCCTAGCGTAACGCCCCTTGTATCCGCCAGGTTTTAGTTCCCGTTTTAGGTAACCATATACATGTTATTTTCTTAAACTGTTAATTTCTTACAAATTTTTTTGTAGGAGTAATAATTACAGATATAGAGAAACCTTAGTTGATTCTATTGACTGCGGTCTAAATTTTTTCTCTTTCACAAATGTTGCTAACTCTGAAAGGTTGGCTAGCAGGACATTTATGGCTAACTCTGAACGGTTGACTGGTGCCTTTAAAGGCATAAGTACAGAAATCCAAAATCCAAAATCTAAAATCCAAAATCCAAAATCCAAAATCCAAAATCCAAAATCCAAAATCCAAAATCCAAAATCCAAAATCCAAAATCCAAAATCCAAAATCCAAAATCCAAAATCCAAAATCCAAAATCCAAAATCCAAAAATATCCAAATTCAAATAATTTAGAAATCCATATCCAAAAATTATTTAGACCAAATTGATCAGAGCAAACACACAAGAAAGGAATTGGAAACTGCTTACGTAAAACCACTGCGCGCTGCTCTAGGATTTCACCGATTTGCAGAAAGGCGGAAACTGTTCACATGTTTTTCTGTGCGCAGTTTGATTGGTCAACCGCTCGTGGTCGAGTCGTTGTAAGCCACTTTTACCTGTGTCAAATGCCTTTAAGATAAGAGTTAGTGAATTAAAACCTCAATATGATCTCGTTGGCCAAAGACATCAGGCTTTTTTGTCAGTTCATCTTAATCTCAAATTTAGATAATTTATCTCAGCATAAAAACATAAATTTAAAACAAACGGAATAAAAGGAGACAAATGCCATTAAGATTTTTACATCCACATCTTGGTCTACCTACCTTTTGACAATAAATTCTTTCAAAAGGCCTCTCCAGCCAGCCAAAAAATTTATTTATTTCTATTGACATAAAACAGTTCATGCTGCATTTAGCATGACAAAACAGTTCTTCTTGCGATATTCCAATTATTTTTAAGCTGAAACGCTTATTATTTGCCCCTTTCCGAAAAAGATCGAATCTCGTTGTCTTGAGTTTTTTGCTAGCTCAATATTATTATACAAATTTGAAAGGACTCAAAGTATTGTCCGAAAACAACCAAAATCAGCCTTTCTCTTTAAAATAATCTTTCAAAGTTGAAAATTATTGACATGATTCCATGATTTTGATTCTGCAAACTTGATTAAAGTTAACAAGCAAAGATTGTCTGGTAAAAAGTTGCTCGCAATATTCGGTATTTCAAAACAAATGAGAAGTTCATATTTTCATACAGATGCAACAAGAAAGCAATTACTGTCATTTGCAGCTTGTATTGTGCAAATCAGCGACGTAAAACTTTTTGGTTTGATGTAAGAAGGCATCCGAAATACACTGAGTGACATCAAAATTACGTAGCAGTGTCACCAAACCAAAACTTTCTTTGCTCGCAATTCAATTCATTGTCAAAATGCTAGCAAAAAAATATGCAAAACAGTTTAAAAAATCAAAAAATTAATGACCAGCAGGCTGAATTCTAAAGATGCAAATTTTAGCTGAAGGGGCCTCTTAATATGTTTTGGAGACACTTGGTCATTGCATCCTACAGCTTGACAGGACAAAACTGAAAAGATTTGAGGGGCTCTGTATTCTAAGTGCTACGAGAAAACTAGTGACTGCATGGCTTTTAGTACATTTTAGAAATTATCAGGGGTGAAGGGTAAGCCCCACAGCTTCCTGCTCCGCAGTCTATTACCTCTATGATTAGATTTATGATAATCTAGATAAGGATTTATGTGATAATTGTAAAAGAAAATTGTATTACTTAGTCAGCTACCGATCCTTGAAATTTGTTAATCGGTCGAATTTTTGTGAATGTTGAAATGGTCATAATGAGCCCCTCGAAAAATGTTTTTGGGACCCCCTCAAAACGAGGATCTGTATTTTGCTCTCTAGGTTATTCAGTCGGCGAATTGTCCAACTCGTCGTAAAATAAAGGATGACTGGCTAACTTTGGTGGCAAAGGGGACCTAGACACTTCTCTTGAGCACACAAGTTAGCAATGGCCCTGGGTACAGTATGCTGGGCTGATCTTTTTTTTGAATAACCGGAGTTAGCATACTTTGCCATCTTCTTTTATTTTTGCTTTCCTCTCCGGCAAAACTGCATGACGCATATGGTGGTAATTTTTTGTATGAAAAACTTTAATAACACGAGTATATGCACATATTTTTCACACATTATTGATACTAGATATGGTCAATGTCCATTTCATCTCTACCAGATCTGATACAGATGCTTAAGGAAAAAGCAGCAAACCCTGTCCTCTTCTAAATTTTGTTAGCTAAGTTTAAGCTTCGAGACAGTCCATTGGCTACTCATTTTCTACCTTTAATGTTATACTTGCCGGATTATTTTGACTGGAAAGTCTTTATTGTAAAGAAGCAAGCTTAGATGTTTCTGACTTGCAATTCTTACGAAAAAAGCCTCGAAACGACTGGATTTTAGCATGCTTTATGGAAGTTGCCTATATTGTGAAGGAAAAACATCCGGTTAATACTTCCTTTTGTGCCCAAGCCTCGAAGTCGGATTACGAGTCAGTTGTTCAAGCTGTAATGAGAGGTTATTTGTTGTGTATGGACACGTTATAAGCTCTCGCTAGTATACGCTGATTATGTTTATTGTATATAATTCGATTCTGTTCTTGTTGTTATAAAATGGTGAAAACCCAAGATGGTGTCTTCATCGAATGTCCTGAACTTAATCTTCAAAACAGCTTGATGCTGTATTAACAATGATAATCAATCACAGGACCTGAGCCAGGGTGTGATATAAAGAACAGAGAGATACAAATGTTTGATATGACACAATGAGTAGCTTCGAAGCCCAACAGAACAATGTTTACAGATTAAAGACGTATTGAAATTGTTATGAATACACTGTCTTCCAGCCCCCTTAAGCTACCACTTCATAGGACGTGATTTTGCGTTCTTGCTTGCACCGTTTCTTACGTCAACGTTACTATCTATTCAATACCTGATATTGCAACGAATTCATCGTAACCAACCTGTCCGTTTTTATCACTATCAAGTTGATTAACTAAAAATTCTATCATATCAGCTGATAATGGAATACTGGCAGCTGCTATTCCCATCTGAAACTCTTTCCTTGATAAAGTCATACTTTTGTCCTTGTCCCATCTGTTGAACAAGTCAATCATTCTCAGACGCTTTTCTTTTAAGTACTGCCTGATCTTATCAAAAATCTTTTTCTTCAATAGAGCAAGCTCATTTTTCCGCAATCCAGCACCAGAATCTTTTGTTATTCCTTGGTATGTAACCTCCAACTTAGTTCTAGAGCGCACGAGTTCTTGAATGATCTCAAATGCTTCTTCATCTAGAAAGATATCTTTCATAAGCAATTCTATAAGCTCTTTTGCCTCTTTAGCTGCCATTAAAAGGGCGGATCCCCCAGAACTGGTTATCGGGTTGTATCCGATATTTAATCTTTGTAGTGCCACATTTTTTGCCAAGCCTTTGCTCAAAGCAATAGCACCCACGTCTGAAATTCTATTGTGAGATAAATCAAGTGACTTCAATGTATCATTATGCGCTAGGGCATTTCCCATTGCAGCTGCACCGTTGTCTGAGAAGCCATTAAAGCTTAAATTTAGAACCTCGATGGACGAGTTCTTGGCCATTGCATTTGCAATAGCTATGGCTCCGTCCATCCTCAAGTGATTCCAACTTAGATTCAGTTCCACCAGTGTTTGATTTGTCGCTATTGCTGAGCCAATTTCACGCCCGGCAGCTGACCTGAATTCATTGTGGCTTAGGTTGAGTCGTTTGACTGTGTCATTTTCTGCAATGCCATGAGAAAGTGCAGTACTGTCTTTGTCACTCAGTCGATTTCCTTTCAAATTAACATTTACAAGGCTTCGAGTAGACTTGAGCATACTTCCTAGTGCTGCTGCTCCTTTCGATCCTATATCATTCTCTGCCAGGTTGACGTCTGTAATAAAACAGTTTTCCTGCAATACACGGCAAATCAAAGTTGTACCAACAGGTCCAATATTGTTGGCCTCTATGTCAAGTGTCTTTACAAAGGTGTTAGTGATTAGTGCATCAGCAATCGATTGGATTTCCTTAGGGCCTATGGCCCGATGCCTTGCATGCAATACTGATGTTTTGAGCGATTTTAGCACGTGGTTCGATGGAGTTATTTTTAAGGATTTGCAGGTTTTCAAATATATTTTCTCTCCTCTCGATGCTTGATTAGCAGTGCCAGTTGAGGAATTGCGCTCCTCCAGGTCGGTATCCCAGTCGCTGTCCTCCGACTCACATCTGCTCAAGTCGATGTTGCAAATTTCTCCCTCTTCATCAGACAATTCAACTTCTTCCCTTTGTATGATTTTAGCATTGAATTCGTCTATAACATCAGGAAAATGATCTGCCTTGACGGACAACTTTGGATATCCGATAACTGCTCTTTGCATGTTTTCCATTTCAAGCTTTTGCATAACGTAAATATACAGAATCCAACTAAAGCTTTCTTGTGTTTTTATTCTCAATTTACAGTCTAAACTAACCCAACCAAATATGCAAAAGTCCAGAAAAGAAACAGTCCATCATCAGTCTGGACATCAAATGATTTCCTACACATGTGACGTCTATGTTGTCAATTTTTCCACCAGATGTTCTTTAGGTCCTAAAGGAGAGTTAAATCCATTCCTACCAGTGCGCACTATTTCTACTCCAACCACTTCTCACTCAAGTTAGTCTTTCAATGCTCAAGCTTATCATTATCTAAACCATTTTCCTGCGTAAACAAAAATATCTCGTGGGGCAGTGTACGATTAAATAATATTCCAAGGGTTCTTCTGTTCAAAGTTTGCATGAATCTTTGTACTAAATAATCTGAACGTTTCTATAGCAATCTTTGACAAGTCATTTTATTCAATAAAGCTCGCAGTTTAACCGTTGTATTGAGCGAAGAAAAATTAACATCAGTTGCTCACACCGCCAGAGTAAAGGCTGCCATGGCGACCAAATAAATGATTATGCGGCATTTTCAAGATTCAAAACCTTATCACCTAAAATCGTCAAATGAATATAAATGTTTCGGCAATGGTTTCAGAGGAGCCATAAAATGCATTAGACCATCAATCACCCATTATGCTAACTTTGACTGGCATACATTAAATTCTGATGAAATATTCAAAGAGAAATAAACTGTTTTATCCCAAGAATGTGAAAAACAGTATTTGTACTTTGTTCTTGTTACCGACCTGCCAATCAAGCGCCCGCTAGGCCAGAGAAAACAGCCTGTAGCATCCCAGGAAGTCAATGTTTTAGTCATTTTAGGCTATGTTCACTTATTCTTTAAGCGACAGCGATCTTGTTGACGCTTGTAAAAGTAAGTGAAGTTTCCCACGTTTCAAAGTTTCTTGTCTCGATAGAGATTTTTAACAGAAGTTGATGTTTGAGGGTCTTTTTTCACCGGCTGATATAGCCCATCCTTGAATGGGGGCAAATTAACACGAAGGGTCATTGGGGGAGCATATTACGTGATAGTGTGATGCACACACATAGATCGAGCCATTCACTACAGGGCAGTGGACTGAGAAGGTAAGATGACATGTGGCCCTTCCCTTGGCATTTGATGCTGTCTCTATTGCCACCAAAGGGTTTATTTCCAGAAGAAAACTCGCATTTTTAACAGTTGAACAATTTATAGGTATATGTGAAGAGCATTATTTAATATCAGTGCAGTATTTTTGTCACGAGAACATGTAGTCATTTCACGATAGGTTGAGGGCGTAGCGGGCAATCATGGTGGAAAAATTTTATGCTATGCAAACCCTCCATAAGGCACAAGGTACATGTCCTTAAAGTTTCTTTATTTTTAGACATCCTATCATACCTTTGTACAAACACTTTAAGACTGAGAATTGGGTTTTGTCTATAGCAAATCTAACAGAATGACAATAATGATACGTTGGATCTTAAAGAGACTACGAAGGAGCATAAAATTTGGTTTCTGGAAAAAGGCGCGTAAAATTGGTAGCGGCTCCAGTTCTCCATATCAATCGGGCCTACCAAAGCTTGGTTTACATTAATTTTTCCAACGATCTTGTAGAAATGGAGCTACCTTTTCAGATACCGTTATCGAAAAATGATCTTCTTAGCCACAGTGATGAACATTACGCTGTCGATGAAGTCTACTCTGTCAGGGATATCAATCTGAAATTTGCAGGTAAGAAGAGAGGGCCTAAGCAAGTAAGAGATTGTATTGTTCGCTTATTGAGGATCCGAATGAATAGCAACTTTGCTCAGTTATTCTTTAAAATCTATCTTCTTTCTCTCAAGTGCAAAACTATTGCTTTGAAAAAATTTCTCTTTACAGTACGGAGCAGATGTCTAACCATTGCGATTCAAACGTTTTTTACTACACGCCAATTCAGTTTACCGGTTGCAAAGTTTGAAAGTTGAATGACACACTACTCTAAAAATATATTTTCAGTTATATGTATATACTGTTAACTTGAATAAGTCACTCGGCCTGATCACACTTTTGGTGAAAGTTACTCTTAATAGGTTGTATGTCCAAAACATTCAAAAGTGATTCAACTTTGTATGGTCCTTATATTACCCTGGCGACCACAGTAAAAGAAAAACATTGATATGGCTTATACAAGTGATATGCTTCAAACTGTTGTTTTGCAAAAAAACATTAAAATATGACAAATTGTCCAAATTTTTACATTGAAAGCCTCTATGGTATTTCACTGAAAGAGTTGAGTTGTTTTTGAGAGCTACACTTAATGTAACGAAAGTAATTTATACAAAGATAAAATTCAAAGCGGCATACGCGAAACCAAATCCCATCATTTTACCCATCAAAAAATATCAGCATTTCCAGACCTTTACCAAAACTATGTTTTGTTGAATTCATGGCTTGAAGATAATTGGTCAAAAGGGGTTTGTCTTTCTTCAAATGTCAATAATAGTAATTAAAGCAAGTTTTGTTTGTAAATCTCCTACCAAGAAACATTTCATGTAGTGGGTTTTGTGAACTTTCTTTAGAGATAGACTTTAAAGCTTCAACTGACTAGCCACAGAATGACAGTAAAATTGAAATCCATACCAGGGTTTGACAACTTGTATGATCCTGTTTATTCTTAACTTGTCAATTTCAAGTTATTAATCTACCTCTACTCAGTTTTCAGTTTGCATAACTCGTTTGGTTTCATAAAAAGCTGAAACTTTCTTATATATTCTATATGTATATGCCTAAGTAAATCATTCTTGAAAGATAATTATTATTGCTCTTTGGGACAAACTTACTGAAAGTCCTATGTACACATTTTATCTGTAGGTGGATAATGTTTTGCCCCCTTGTTTTTTTTGCTTTTTTATTGAAAATCATAAAACGCTGAACTAAAACATATATTCAATTTTATACTGTAAAGACCAGATTTATGATTTTATATACTCTTTTCAGAGAGTGAGACTGCTTTGAAAGAAAAAGGCCCAACAGGAATTTTATCAGAGTTTGATACAATATTCAGCATTCTAAGGTGAGTTCTATTAATTTTCCAAGTAAAAGTTGATTTTTTGGGTCAAGGTTTCTTGTTGAAGAGAAGGCTGTCAGCATAGCTATTTGAAAATAAAAATTCTGTTCAGTTGAATCAGTTGAAAAGAGATAACAGCTTTTCTGGAAGACTGATAAGGATCAAGAGCCGCATCCACTAGGGTCTTGTTTTTTTCTCTTTTAAAAACGTTTTGAAGGACTATAGTCTCCCCCTTCTGTAATTTCAACCAACGACCCAGCTCCTTCTGCCAGTAGGACTAATATTACAATACAAGATGCATGTCTCTCAGAAAAAGTCTATTTCTATAATATAAATCAGCTTCAGACAAATGTGAGATTACCATATTTTTCAATATTCTTTGAGGCAGCTTATGTAAATGCTTATGTGTATAAAGATATCTCACAGAGGTAAAAAGCCAGCTATTGGTTGAAAACAATTAAAAGGAAGGAATTGAATCATTTATTACTGTGAAACCTCAGAAAGTGATGATACATGTCCTTTTGATAATGTTGTATGTATCTGTCAAGGGTTCAGATTTATGTTTCTGAATTTAGAAACTTGCTTTTTTACTAAGAAATTTGTCATGTCAATTTGAAGGCATATCCTATTGTTCTTGAAAACAGTTTTCCTTCTTTATGTGTCAGGTTTTGTTAGTCTTATTTTTTTCTGCTACAACCATAGACTACCTCTTTTTAAAAAAAAATTTCCAATGAAATTTTTCTGTTGAATCACATGTTGATGAAATTGACTTTGGTGGCATCAGTCTTTTATATACATTGTCATTAATATCTAAATTGCATTTTAGTCGTTTCAATGAACTGTCAGCAGATGTGAAAGAGAATGCATGGTCTGTTACCATCAAAGGTAGGTGTCTTCAATTAGCAAAATATTTTATGCTTCGCATGTGTACAGAATTTTGTTTCAAAAGCTATTACAAATTAAATAAATATAAAGTTTTCAAATCAACTATATACTAAATCAACTATAAGTTTTGAATTCCAAGTGTAAGAATCCAGATGAATTTTAGTAATGATAGGCAACATTTATATTAAACCATCCCATTCTAATTAAGTTCGGAAACCCCAGTGCAAGGAAAGAGAACATGAAATTACGAATAAAATATTTAAATTTGATCTCAAATTTAAATTCAGATTCAAATTCATGTCATTCAGCAACATATTTGCAATTTATCAAATGCAAATTAACCAAAGATATATTGATAAAAGATAGAAAGCTAAAGATCAATGGATACAGTATGCTCTATCTAATACAATTTGCAGTAAGTTGCCCAGGACACTGGGAGAACAAAAGAGGTTTTTGAGCCCAGTGACCTGATATTTAGGCTACAACCGGTTTTTGTTGCAGACTACTTTTTAAAGCTTTAAACAGGAATTTCATTAGGTTTAGGATGAAATCGGTCAAATGATACAGAAAATGTCTAAATTATTTTTTTTCTAATCAGATTTAATTTGATGTTTGAGGGCCGTCTAGAAGAAAGCCTTATGCACTGCTGTACACCATGAGATTAGCAATGACCTTTGCTCTGAACAGGCCTTGCTCTAAGTAAAATGAAGGTGCTCCATAAAAAGAGCCCCTTAGAAACTCTAGGCGCTCTATTTCGCACCTCTAAGTAAATTTCCTTGAGAGCATCCTTCGAGAGCTTTAGAAGATCGAGAGCTTCATATTAAAAGCTTCGGAAGAATGTTAAATATGAATTTCAACGGTGATACCAGAAAGCACCATAATATGAAATAACAAAACATGCAACAAACACTATGTTAATGTAAATATATAAATATAACAGAACAAAGTCGCAAAATTGTTCAGATTTTTCTAGATATGTAAGTTGCCATCATGCGATGAGCTTTTATCAGTGTCAGTATCACTACTGTTATGTTTAGCTTCACATATTGCTTCATCAAAACGCATGGCTTTAAATCGAACAATTAACTTTGTTTCCTTTTTTCATGTTATCCATTCTATAAGAAACGCTAGAACATCTACTACTCGCAAACTCAAATGAAAAGCAATGCGATAATTTGGACGGAAACGTGATCGCTGATTTGCACAGGCGATTTTAAGTTATTAAGAAAAACAGAAAATAATATTTACTTCAATAGAAGATTAACGCTTGCTCAAAAATCAAATAAATCTGCCAGAGAATACGCTTGATGGCCTGTATTCTTGATGGTTATTAGAGGGTTATTAGATTTAAAATGATATCGAAAACCCAACGTTGAATTTGCTGATTTTTTCTCAAGGGGTAATCTTACGCAAATCATAATATTGCGGTCTGTTGGGAAGATTGTTTATGCTTGATCAAGTTGATTCAACAAATTCCAAAAATTTATTTTGCTCCGTGTTAATATTGTTTTTACGTTTTGAGGGGCTCTATAAATCGCTCTCCAAGGCTTCTTTTGGGTGCGCTCTAGGCGCGCGCGCTCGATCGAGCGCCTTTCCGGGCAAGGCCTGGACTCTGAATGAAGTTTCTATACTGTTACAAGGGTCTGATACAAGGGTCTCCAATACTCATGGTACATCCATGCTCCAACACATACACACTTTCAGTTGACTAATTTATAGTTGAATAAAGTTGAATAAATAATCAATTGTAAAATGATTCTGATGAATGTTTCATTTAGCTTTCAGTCAACACGTGAATGAGCTTGGTATTATAATTGACCCAGAAGGAATGGATTATCAAATCCAAAACATGCATCTAAACACAACCAAGGTGTGTGTCACTAAATCACTTTTCCTTTGATTTTCATCCATAATTAGCTTAGAAAATAAAAACCAATCATTTTGGAAGGTCCTTCTTAGCTTATAATGATCAATGGCGTAGCCTATCTGATTAATTCCAATCAACAATACAATAACTATGATTTTAGATGGAAATAGGCCAACCAGAGAACAGTTTTCTGATTGGCCTTTAACAATACACAACTGGAATATTTTTGTTTGAAATTGTTATTTTTCCATTTTCTAATACCCTGTCATTACGAATTAGTAATGTACGCTTTGCACACACTAATTTGGCAAAATGTAGTTTTGTATTCACTCTGTTTAAATTTAAGACGATAAGTCTGCTTTATACACCTTAAACTATCACATCTACAATGCATTGGCGGTCTTCCTAAAATCATTGGAATACATCGACCAGTTGGCGTAAAGTGGGTGCGTTTTTCCAGCTACCTAGAAACTGGCAGTTTTGCAGACGACAACAACATTTTGATCTCCTTTCTAGATGTTGTCGTACCTACTTACACAGTTGATGGAAGCATTTGAAGGGGAAGCTACCACGCCAAGCATACACACAGATGAAACCCGAAAGGTAGTTGTTATATGTCATTTCTCCAAAAGAGGGTCTTTGGATTCAGGGATTTAGACTTAATTTCAATGCATGCAAACCAACTTTAGATATCTTGTTGATTATGATATCGATATTAATAATGCATCTTTTTAAAATAGTTTTGAATAATATTAAGTTCGAAAAAATTAATGCGTTGAGTAAACGCAAATAAAAGCGATTTGGCATCTCGTGTACATGTGCTGTTTGGTAAAATTTATAAAAGTCCAATTTCGCTGCGTCTCCTCAGCAGAAAATTTCTGGAGTACCCATGAATATCAGCGACTGTCCGGTATCAGTCATTTCTTATCATTTTAAACCAATGGTAAGGCGAAGGAAAAATTTATGAAGACTCGCGCATT